ACACATGTATGTATGAACATGCCCATTTGACACAAACATATAAGTAAGAATCATCCATATGCACACAGACACACACAGCTTTGAATATCTGCTACAAAGCAAACAGGCACTGCTGGGTGCTGCAGGCTGCCTGTCCTCCCCACCACAGCGCTGTCTGAGGGATCGGCAAGTGTTGTCCTGATACACGTGTTAACTCAGCAGGGAAACTCCTCTGGCGAATGCATTGCAGCGCAAAAAGGACCAGTGGAAGTAGTGCAGGAGATAAATTAGTTTGCAGGAAGAGATGGGCAGAACTGGCTAGCTGACTGGACGCATGCAGGCTACTATTTGTAAAAAGTATAGTGTCCACCTGCAGCAGTATTGTACTGACCTGAATCCTTCCTTTGCTGTGTAATTGTGGTGCAGGTGCACCTCAAACGTACCCATGGATTTGATAAATACAGTGACAGAAGGAGAAACCAGCACTCACAGATAATAGTTAACAATACTGTCTTTTACATTTGTCTAAGGCAAGTCACGCATACTCTACCACATTATACGCCAAAACAGTTGCAAGCTTTTAACATTTAAGTTGAAGTAATTTGTGCTTTTCTCACCAGCAAATGTAGACAAGTGCAGATAGTTTACAAGTAAATTAGAGGTATAAATAAAAATGTTTGTTTAGAAGTTTAGAACCTGGGTCACAAAGATACAGTGTCTGGGACAGTAGAGAAATGTATCATTACTAATGAAATCATTACGTTTATGTGTCATGGAATACATTTTAATTGTTGTTAATTGTTTAATTGTCGTGTTCAAATTAGAAAAATGTGAGGCGGCATCGGCATGAGCTCTACGCTATTTTGGTAGCACGCTTACACACACAAAATCAATCATAGAGAGACAGTGTTGCCAATCTGGTTTCCTGCTAGATTTAGCGACTCTTAGCGACCTTATTTCTAAAAAGCAACTACTGAAAAATGTAGCAACTTATTCAGACTATCAGGGAAAAGGCAAGAAATATATTCAAATATATTATATTGTAATTCATTCCCATGTAAGCTGCTCAGAGTAATCGCAGTCCATGGCTCTTCTGCCAACAGCACCGGGGTCTCTCCCTCTCTTGCGCCGTACGCAGACAGTCAGTAGGCGTGGCGTGAGGCACATTTGGCCTTTTCTACCGCTCTTTCTCTCCGGATCTCTGGATTAGGATGTTCCTTAAGCTTGTATGTAAATAGTTCATTTCAGCTTGTTGATATTTAAATAGTTTGTTTGATTTTCTCTCTCCCTTTGTGGATTTTTTATTTCCTTTTTTAGTTCAAATATACAATGTCCCTGTGGTCAGTTTGTGATTATTTTGCTAACTAATAATAATATTCAATATTCAAAGTGTGTCTATGTAAGATCCATCACCGTAAACCAATCAGAGACAGGTATGCTTTTGCACTGCAGTTTGTAGTGAGGCGTTTTTTTATCTAAAAATACACAAGAAACAGGAACTCAAATGACTAAAAGTATAATGAAAATTGGCCAAAAACATAAAGTCATTTCAGTATTCATTCAGAGTGAGCCAATGAGTTAGGAAACAAAGCTTGTAAACTATATTCATTATGTTCAATTTGGGACAATGGTTGGTAAATTGGAGACAACTGAAAGTAGAATTCCAGACAATTGAAGGTGAAATTGGGACAGTTGTGGAACACTGAGGAAAAAAAAATATTTTGAGCCCTGGGCAACTCTTCACACAATGGGTCACTTCCTATTTGTTCAAATGCTGATGATGGTTGTGTGTTATGATGTATTTGTTTGTACTATTTTGCTGATATGTGAATGTTAAAAACATTATCTGTGAGTGCAGACATGTACATTGTTAGTCCATAAAAAAGTGAGTCAGTTATGCAGCCTACAGCTCCAAACATGTCAGGACTGTTTCAGTCAAATTCACTCAACAAGTACGGGAGCTTTTGCACTGTATGAACTATAGTATTTTGTTTTTGGTGTGTATGTGTTAGCGTGTGTGTGTGTCTGGGGCCAGGTCCCTGCCTTATCCTCACTGCCCAATACAAGGCGAGGCCACGAGGGGGCTATCAAGCCTGAGTGAAACCGGACATTTTTAGGAAAAGGAAAGCTCCCCTCTCACTCTCATTCTTATAAACACACAAAACATGGAAGCTCACAGGTTTCCTCTTTTAGACAGTTTGTAGTGTTTTTGTATTTTGTCTTCATATACGTATAACCCAGTCTGTGTTGAGTTTTGTGTGTAGTTTTGCAATTATGTTATCTAAAACCAAACCCCAGCCACACCAACCATAGTAACTCAACATGGTAAAACCAGGAAAAGAATCTACATGCCACTGCATGAACTTGTCTGGCCTTTTTTTTCACGATCTTAAGGACTTAAGACACATTTGTTGAAAGGGTGTGTGAGCTTGATCAGCAAGTTATGTTATCATATTACTCACACTACTCACACAGTACACATAAAGTTCAACTGCATACACTCACAGCGTGGTTTCTATAGTTATACATTTATAAACAAGACAAGAGGTTACCTTGCTCCACCTGTTCTGCATCTAGAATTAAGTTAAGGATGGATTTGGGGATTTAACCTACAGCTCATCATGATGATAGCTGTCCAGACAGTGTTAGCCTGCAGCACCTGGTGGAGGCTCCACCCATGTAATCTCACAGAATCAAACTAAAACCTGTTCTCAAACCACAAACACAGATATTGCTGTATATACGAGTAGACCAGTGTGATGTCAGTTAAGAGAAATGGAGAAACAACAACTGGCTCTGTTGTAAATGAGTGGATCTGCACATCTGTCATTTACCTTCAGTGTCACTCTGTCTGCTGTCTTACAGCACCATGCATGCACCACACAAACACATATACTATATAACATCAAAAGTTAACCACATATACTGTAAATTGGGTGTGTACGATATTGTAAAAAAGGAATTATTTTGACAGATGCTACGATATGATCCACGATTAGTGGGAAGGATGTGTAAAATGTTTATTTGACTCCGCAACACCCACGCTGACCCACATTTCAGGGTATCCCAAATAATGTATTTGTAAATCTCTGCCTGGCCTAAACTTAACTTCCCCCTCCCCTCTTATATGCGGAAATAGTGCACAAAGGTCGTCACTACTGATACTACAGGTGTTATATAATCAGCCCTAATCAGCTATTGCCACTGCTATGACTCTGGGGGCTCTGCCCTTGCATGCATGCACGCTTGCACACACTAGACCACAGAGCCACATGGACCCTCACTGACACTCACAGTTGCTCACACAGAGCCCTCCCCCAGCCACATGGACACCATTGAACTATGTACATGGTTATGTAGCTCTTGTAGCCAGCTGCCGTAAGGAACTCTTATTCCCACCTGCCAAAATGGATAAGAAGAGGTCTACTAGCCTTCTGTCCCTATATGAGTATGTTAAAGGCTGTTAAGCACGCAAGTATGAGAAAACAGTTGCCTTCTTTCACATGCTGCATACACAGAGCAACATTATAATGGGTAGAATAAAGTCGTGTTTCTGGACACACGTGGTTGGAAACATGGTTGATAAGATAGGCCAGACTTAACCTTACACTATGCCAGAAACCAAAACAATGAAGAGACTCAAAATCTCGGTAGAGCTGCAGTGTCTGGTGACAATTCTCAGCTTTCACGGTATACGTAATGCTGTAAATAATGCAGCTTTAAAGACGATTACAGAAACACAAAAGTAAACAGACACTAAAGCCCACAATAACGGTTTTCTTTTGGCCGCTTGGGGGCGGCGGGAACACGTTAGGCACACAACATTGGTGCATCATCACCTTTAATGATGACACACGAACCTGTTAGCAAACAGTTGCTTATATAAACATCCAGCAGTTACAGAGCAACATTATCATTCATTTGGAGTAATGCTCCTCTCCACCTGATGATTGTAAGTCCAATATTTACTCTCTTAGCTTTGTATTTGGTCTCTAATTACAGAGGGATATATGAGGCTCTTTAGCTGCTAAATGCTCCGCTGTGTTCACTAGTTAGTTGCTAATTGTGTCTGTCGAGGGGAGCTGCAGATTCAGGTGATCATTTTCTGTATGTGCATCACTATGAGTGACCCCTTTTACATAGCCATATTATCATTTGACAAAAAAAATTCCAATTATAACCCCTTTAAAAACTGACAGGAAAACTGAAAAAGTCCCCTGTCAACGGGTGCTCTGGTTGTTTATTGTGTTACTGGTTTCTCTCTCCTAAAATATGCATTCACAATGCCATTCAGTGCCACTGTGCAAAAACATCCGGCTCAAATTGGCTTTAATTACATACCCATACCCATCCGCACACACAAGCATGCACATACACACAGTCACCATGTGCAGCTCATAAAATAGCTTATTCTCTTGCTTGCACAATAGAGGGCACAATCACACACAAACACACACACACACACACACAAAAACAGACACATACTCCAACCACGTGCTAAGCTGTTGCTGGTCATGTGACAGCGCCTTCCACTCTACCACACGGCATCATCAACACTCAAGTCGTGTATGCATTCACACCTGATACTCTATACACGCACACGCGCACACACAAGCACTTCCCCTTTTATCGCTAAACCAATTCCCTAACATTCAACAGGAAACACCGTGAAGTTAAGTGTGCAGAGTCTGTTGAAACCAACCACAAAAAAACATGAATCACAACGTGAAAGCGAAACTTTCTGTTTCAACTGTTTGGCTCATGCAACTCTCGATTATTGTTGCTGGGAAACCTCAGAGATCAAAGGCAATACTGTCAGATGGTTACAACCACTCTTTTTTCAGGCGCTTCAGATCAGCTGTTTTTGGACGCAAAAAGAAGCTACAGTAAATTCCCACTCAAAACATTGTCTAATTTTACCTCCTTGAGGGAATGAACTGAAGACCTGACTGCAATAAAAACACTGTCATGTGTGGCTATTAAATGTAATTTAAATGCATGCAGTGTAATTTAAGCCTCACCTGTGCAGCAGAGAGAGCGAGGGGAGACGAAGCTCTTCTTCTTAGTTCTACACACTTCCTCAGCTTACAAATCTGGTGGCCTGTTCTGCGGTTGAGGCAACAACTGCACTGGCCACAGCTGATCTTCCTCAGGCATGGCTCGCACGTCCCACACCTGCTACGCTTCTTCCTCTCTTTCTTCTGTTGTTTCCGAGTGGTCCAGGAGGTCAAGAAGGCCGCCTCCGGCCCCCAGGATCCAGGTAGAATAGAGGGGCTGGGCTCTCCATATCCTGCCTCGGATTCAGTATCAAAAGAAAAAGAGGAGCGAGTGCTTTCTGAGCTGCAGGAGAAGGTGGAGCTACTGTCGAGAGATGGAGTCAAGATCTTTGGCACTGAGTCCGGCTCTGGCACTGCGACCACAACACTGGCCTCACTGAGGTTTGGTTCACTCTCAGCTGTAACAACATCTACGCTCAACTGAGGACTTACCGACAATGACAGCGAAGATGTCTCTTTCTGGCTGCAGCGCTCTAATGGCTCTTGATTGGATTCACTATCTTTGGTCTGGGTCTCCGCTGGTGTGCAAGCTTGTCTATCTCCCTGAGGAGAGGGAATCTCTGGGCTTAGCAGTTGGTGGGGTTCCCCCTGGCTTGAATCCCTCAAGATCCTATGTTTGAGGGAGTCACTACGGATAATAACAGGTGTATTTCTTTTCACTAGAACAGTATGCAACATCAGGGCAGTTTCAGCAACAGCTGAGGACCCTGGGAATTGAGGTTTAGCACCATGAATAGTAGGTTGCATGTCTGTCTTACCCTGGCTCAGAACCTCTAGCTCAAGTGACTCTGAGGTGGAGGGGGCTTTGGTGGGATTTGAGGTAGCTGTAGCTGCTGAGACAGGTAACCCACTTACAGGTGATTCTGACTGTGCTGTCAGTCCAATGTTAGAGTGAAGTGGATCTGGAGGTTGAGGGGCTGGAGGGCTGGGGTGGGAGTCAGCAGGATTGATGGACACATCATTCTCCTTTTCAATTCTTCCTCCCTCTTCTTGCTCACAATTACCCAGCCGCTCACCAGTCTCCTCCATCTCTTCCACGGTCTCATTTTGCCTCTCAACTGCTTTCTCTGCCTCCAAACTCTCTCCTCTCTCATGATTTATCTCCTCTTTTACCTCAGTGACAACTATCACTCTTTCATCGGCCCTGTTTTCTTTCGAGTCCAACATGTTACCTTCCTCTTGTTGGACAGCACACACATCATCTTCCTCCCCATTACTGGTAAGTTGATCAAGCTTATTTCCAAAGACAGATGAACTGTCATTTCCCTCGCTCCCACCCTGCACACCTGCTGACCCAATACTCGTTAGCGCAAAGGGCTCAGAGGGACTATCTTCACTTCTGTCACAGCAGACTTTTAACTGTTCATCAACATCATCACACACAGAGGCCCCAATCACACACCCCGGGTCGTCTGCGCTGTTATGGCTGACAGTCTTTTTGTCTTGTTGGGTTATAGTACTGTCACAGCTGCCCTGCACACAGTCTTCCAGTGTGTCGTTACACGGCGGTGAATCTGCTTTAAGCGGGCTGCCCTGTTTAGCGTTGGTGACTCCTAGACCCTGATCTTTGATGCTCACAGGAACTTCAAAATCAGTTTTTAGAGAAACTGGAGGGATTTCTTCGGCATCACAGGTGTCCAGTTTCTCATCCTCCTCATCAGGAGTTGAATCGTTGATGCTGGTGCTTGGTGACGGCTGTTTTCTTGTGTTTATTTTCTGTGATGCTGCTCCTCTCCCTGCTCTCCCCCTGCTGTTCCTCCCTCCTCTGCTAGGTTTAGGAAGCTGGCAGGGAGTAACAGTAACCCCTGTGCCCCGCAGGGACTTCCTTCGCCCTAGGGGGTCTTGTAATTCACCACAGTGGTCAGGCAGATTGCTCGTCTGCCTAAGCCTTGCAGATCCTGTTACATTCAGGGCATGATTAACTGTGCCAAGGGACCTCCCAGGACCCTGACCAGTAGGCCCGCTAACCCCTCTTCCATGGGGGCTTCGGCCTGACTGTGCCTGGGCCTTGGCTGTTGACCTTTTGCCTGCAGGTGTTTTCTGGGGCCTCTCTGTGGCTCTTCCTCTGGGTTTATTTGAGTTGCAGGTTTGCCTCTTGGTGCTGATCACTTTCTGGACATTTTTCCTCTGAGCAGGTGTCTGTCTCCTGGCGGATTTGGTAGTAGCGGGCATGGCTGAGGGTGTGGAGGGGAGGATTTTTGGCAGCCAGCATGGGAGCCAGGTGAATGTTTATCCTTTGCTGAGCACACAATTTTTTTTTTTTTTTCGTCTCACACTCTCTTCCGTGTTTTATACTTGAATTGCAAATTATGATGCTGTCGTTATTGTGTAATTGCAGGGCATGACCTATAAAGACAGAGTAAACAGGGGAAAAAAATCTAAATACAGATACTCTCAAAACAACACAGTCTAAAACATCAGGTACAATTTGATTTGACAATAGCTGTGGAGCTAAAGCTATAAAAAAAAAAAAATGTTTTTGTCTGTTGGAAATGACACTTTTGCCCCGCCTGAAATATCCTCTCGGACAAGTAAGTGCTGCAAGGTTGAGAAAATTAAATGCACATACACATAAGATCATTACTCAGTTCAGAGGAACTAAACAGAAACAAATACCATAGCTGCCTGTGTGGCTATTACAGCTGTAACAGTTTAAAGGGCAGGCATGTTGAGGAGTGGGCTCTGGCCGGAGGTCGGATCCTGTTTTTGTCTTTCTGACTGGCGGAAGAGAGGGTTATTACCGTGTAAAAACGCCTTCAACGTCGCCGTTTATTATTATTACTGCACTTGACCGCTGTCGTTTAAAGCGCCGTGTACATATTGGTTGTTTCGCCGCTCGCAAGTTTTTTATTTACACGTTTACGACAGAAATGCTTTACATACCAGAGATAGACAGTTGGACTGTCTGAACTGCTAATAATACTCCGCTCCAGCGAGACAGCGAGACCTTGTATTGGTTTCCCTCCTCGGCAAATATAGACTGCTGGCAAGTTCAATCCTCTCACGACGATGACACATGGACATGATACAGGCACCGACATGAACAAACATCGAGCGGAACAAGTTGGTTTTCAGCATGCACCGTGTAAGCCTTTTTGCGGAGCACGACAACACGTTAAAAAGTGTTAACGCTAAAATCCCTCGTATGTCAATCCAGGGCAGCCCCGCTCACTCTCCCTCCGCCAGACGCAATCTACGGGCTCCGCTGGCCAAAACCTCGTCGTCGGCAGTGGACAAGAAAACCTGGACTGGAGTCCCCGCACACAGCTGTCATTTTATTTTGCCTCGCAGCGCCTGTGTGTTTAAACAAGTGTACGCAGGTGGGTGCTAAAATGATTGTTTCTCATCACTGGAGCAACGGCAGTTGATGTGTTTATAGCTAGCTAGTTACCCGTTTATTACGCGTTCATGTTAGCAAGCTAATTAGCTTCTTTCTTTTTTTCTATATATATTTATTTATTTATTTATTTATAAAGGTTTTAAATTGAACAAGCGGAGTTTTGTGTATAATTTATAACGTTATTAATATTAAAATGAATCTCACTCACCTCACCTTGACGATAATAAATAATATTGTAAATTAATAAAAGCGGCACTGGATCGCATATTCCCCCTCCCCGTCCCCTCGGGATAACGTCACCCTACGTCATCCACGTGCGACTGTTTTCGGACAGACGTCGTCAGTCGATCCCGGGCGAAGGGCACGACGACGTGCCTCGGATTCATTCACAACTTCAGTTTGTGTCATGTTGTTGTTGTTGTTGTTGTTGTTGTTTTTTCAACTTGGGCCGGTGAACGACGAGCTTCACGGAGATTCCACCGGGTATCCACGGCAACGCTGACGTTAGGGTTCAAACAGGCGGGTGTATCGCGGAGAGAAATAAGGAAAGGAGAGAAGCTGGCAACTCACCGGAGATTTGTTCACCAGATTTCAACACACCGATCTTTCTTTCTCTCTCTTTCTTTCTCTCTCTCTTTCTTTCTCTCTCTCTTTCTTTCTCTCTCTCTCTCTGCTCCCTTTTTTGCCCCAATAACGGTTCTTCATTTCATCCTGTGAGTATCCCTCCCGTCGTTCGCCAACCGTAATGGTGCTGTGTTATGTGCTGTTGTCTGACACCAGTACCTTCATGCTCATATTCACATGTACATTTAAAGTATTTTTTTTTTCTCTCCCCCCTACACACACACACACACACACACACACACACACACACACACACAGAGTCATGGATGTGGCAGATTCCTGAGCAGGAAGGATGACATCGGAGGCTGCTGTCTCCTCACCTCCTGCCATAAGCAGCCCTGCCAAGAGGGACTACTACTGGCTTCGCTCCTTTGTAGCTGGAGGTAGGTTATAGCCAGATTCTCTCCTCTCACCATACTTTAGGTTTAAGAACAAGAAACTAATGCGAATTGCTGAGCTTTACGTTAGCCAGCTACTGAATGTCTCCCAGCTGTGGCGATACCATTCCTCAGCTGACATTGATCTTTGACCTCCCTGTGAAACCGGGCAAAAAAATAACACAGTTAACCATGGAGTGACCTCACATACTACATACAGGCTTTGCTACCTTTGACACCTACTTATGATTAAAGCTAATAATAGTTTTTACAGACAGACACAAGCTGGGTAAACATATATTTGTTTTATCTGACAGTGACTAGAAAGCTTAGGTTGGCACTGTTTATAAAGGATTTGCCTGTCTCATTGCATGAAAAGTTGCATATTAAACAATAAACGTGTTGATTTCTCTCATTTTGTTTAGGTGTAGCAGGATGCTGTGCCAAGAGCACCATCGCTCCTCTGGACAGAGTCAAGATTCTTCTTCAAGCCCAGAACCCGCATTATAAACATCTAGGTAAAACATCAAGATAAGATACACTTTACTGATCCCACACTGCCGAAATTCAGCAGCCAAACATGGAAAAGTGTTGTGTTTTTTTTTAAGCGTCTGATCGTTCTTTGCAGGAGTGTTATCCACTCTCAAAGCTGTGCCGCAGAAAGAAGGCTTCCTTGGCTTGTACAAGGGTAATGGGGCAATGATGGTCAGGATATTTCCTTATGGAGCCATCCAGTTCATGGCCTTTGACAATTATAAAAAGGTACAGTGTTTACTTTCAAAGGGCAATGTCTTAAAAACTCATAAAACTCACAGTACAGGTTGACAGAAGTGCTTTTATGTTTTTTTTGCTGTGATATTTAGCTACTGTCAGTTTTTTTTACTATTGCATTGATTTTATTGGTAAAACCGACCTTTGTTTCCTCCCTCCTGCTTCTGATAATATTTCCTTCACAGCTGCTAAGCAAACAAATCGGTACCTCTGGACACATCCACCGCCTTGTGGCAGGATCTATGGCAGGTGAGTTATCTTTCTCACTGATAAGACTTTTCAGTCGGTTCCAGTTGGATATCATGTTCTCTGCTGGCATAGACACTTTTTCTTCTTGTGTAAAAGAAATATAATAATATAAGTAAGTGCATCGTAGAGTGTTAATAAATCTGAAGGAAAGATACCGTATAAAGACAGCCACAGTGTATTTAATCTCAGTAAATCATGTTTCTACTTGTTTTTCAGGGATGACTGCAGTGATATGCACGTACCCTCTGGATGTGATCCGAGCCAGACTGGCTTTCCAGGTGACAGGAGATCACCGCTACACTGGAATTGCCAATGCCTTCCACACCATCTACCTTAAGGTAGTGTTCAACCTGCACAAACATTGTAGCCTTTCATCAAAAATGCATGAAAATCAAAGGTTTAGTAAGAGTTTTAATGCTTTAATACGTTTTTTGTCAATATTGAGAATAATCTAAACTGTATATTTTCATTCTCATACAAGCAGACCTGTTTTTCTTTTGTGTAAAGGAGGGGGGTGTCTTGGGCTTCTATAGAGGACTTACTCCAACACTGATTGGAATGGCCCCTTATGCAGGTGAGATTGCATACATTGATACCAGTCTTTGAATATAAGCTCAATGTGAACATACAGTATGTAACCAGTCTTCTTTATGCTGCATTAGCGTGACTCTTTGTCTCCCACTCGTTTTTATCCTCCAGGTTTCTCATTCTTCACCTTTGGCACCCTGAAGAGCCTCGGCTTGAAGCATTTCCCAGAGCTGCTGGGACGCCCCTCCTCAGACAACCCCGATGTCCTCATTCTGAAACCCCAGGTTAACTTGCTCTGTGGAGGGGTTGCTGGTGCCATCGCTCAGACAATATCGTAAGTGCTGTCGGCAACAAGCTTCAAACTCCAGACTTGATAAATGATGAGCTGTCAACATGGCTAGTTAATTCGTGTGGGCTGGCTGGAGTTATTGATTATGCTGATTTGTTGTTGGTTGATGTTCCACATTGTGTTTCTTGTCATTAGGTACCCCTTGGATGTGGCTAGGAGAAGAATGCAGTTGGGGTCCGTGCTTCCTGACTCGGAGAAATGTGTGTAAGTATCACCAATGTTCCTATTCTCCATATTCTGCTATACCGTGATATACTGCTGTACATTACACCTGTCAGTGTGTGCGGTGTACCTCGTAAAATCATGATTAGACTCATTTTTGGCTGATAGATTTCAGAAACAAATGTTGCTCCTGTATTGTTTTCTGATTTCATTTGGAAGCATTGCAGTGAAATTGTAATCTTATGGGTGACCCTTTTTTAGAAGAGGTCCTGTATGTAACAGGAGGCTCGATTGGCAGAAATGGAATATAACATTCATTAGTGTATGATCCCGAATACAGGATGTTTCTGTTACCTTAGAATGAACCTTTTATATCTACAGACGCCGCGGGCTGCCTTGCATGGGGCATTCACAATTTTATACACTGGATCTTTTAAAGGAGAAATAATTGTAAGGGTGTATTGTAATGCTGAGGGTAATAACAGAGACAAAAACAACACAGTGCTGATGAACTTTATAATTTCACGAGTGATAGTTAAGTGCTCATCTAGCTACAGAGCTAATTGGTACTCGCATATTCTGAAGAAGTCATTAGTGCGTCTCTAATTGGGAGTTGTTTTAAAAATTAACCTGTTTATAGTAGCCTCAGGAAAGTGGTTCAGCACTCACTGTAATATGGGTTTTGTTTTTTTTAAATCAGCAAAATCACAGAGCTCTGGAAGTTCGAATGCGAAAGTGTTCTGAACGTTAATGGAGGAGTTCCCTTTTAAAATAGCTGATTCCACATTTGGTTTTGTAAGTAGAGTTTGATGATGTGCGTGCTTACAACTGGAGAGAAAATTCCATAGGGTTGGGGGGGATGTTTACATGAGATAAAAATGTTAAAGCCCAAAACATTAAGGAGCATAATAACAACTGAGCTGTAAAACTACAGCAACATACCGTTCATACCTTTTACAAGTTCACATGCCAGTTCAAACACTGCTCATTGTTCTTGCATTATCTGCTTTCCCTTTTATATTTAGGATTTTTTTTAAGGAATGCATTCACAAGGTCCAGTCAGTGCATTAGTGCCCTGGAAGTTTTTTATTAAAGCTGTTAATATGAAGGCTGTTGATCAACAGGGTTTAGTTCCCCGTAGCACAGGCGGACCTCATTTTTTAGGGCCTCTAATGTCAATAATAAAAACTGCAAAATGTCCCATAAAAACATGAACATTCTTTGTCAGCTAACATAGTTAATAGGAATTTGCTTTGGTGAGCTTATAAGAAAACAAAGATCGGGACATAACATGACCACACAGTTTTTAATGATTTTTCTATCATTCTAAAAAGTGTATAATTTCATGTCTCACACCTGAACAGAACGCTGAGCAAGACCCTGACGTATGTGTATAAGAAGTATGGGATCAAGAAGGGATTGTACCGAGGCCTTTCTCTCAACTACATCCGCTGTGTCCCCTCCCAGGCTGTGGCCTTTACCACCTACGAGTTCATGAAGCAGTTCCTCCACCTGAACTAGTCGCTGTTTTTTTTTTTTTTTTACTTTCCAAGTCTGGACCTGGGCCTGCACGCTCCGAATCATCAACCTCAATGCTTCCTTGGTAGAGTCATCTGAGGCTTTATCGCTACGTCTTAAACAATTTGGAGTTCACTGAAGGTACCACAGAAGTCACTTTATGCTGGAAAGGGAAACTGGATATCAGACAGTGAGACGCTCCATGTCTGTCCTGTTTCATTCCCTCGTGCTCTGTGTTTTCGTGACTAGCTACCTCTTAACGAGAGGATTTACTGTAGACATGTGAGCAACATCTTCATCAATGTCTGCATGGATACTGCCATGATGTGCGATATTTGGTCTGGCTAGGTTAGTTGGATGGGTTTGGGCAATGATATGCTCTTTAACAGTGTTGTTGGCAACACTACAACAACTGATTGTGTAGAAGCCCCCTAATTAACACAGCAAACACAGATGTCAACACGCTTCAGATGGACACCATCTTAAAATGATCAAATTATCAATTTATTTTTAATCGGTGTCTTTACAAAGAAGGGAACTCGTGTTATTAATTTATTTGAATAGTGTATCACCCATCATGGAAACTTAAATTCTTTATTGTTTATCGTCTACTTTTTACCGACTTGGTGGTGAAAGGTTTGGCTCTTGTGGAAGAGATGGCTGGAATTTTAAAATAATCAGATGATTCATAATGTTTTGCTTATTCAGGACTTAGTGTGTCTTTAAATGTACACGTTTGGGGTGTAGTAACTTTAGGAAAAGCTGCTGTTAGTGTGTCTTTGCATTTGTCCTCTACTCCACAAATCATACAACCCAGATATAACAGTTCACTGGCAGGTTTTTATTTTTTATTTTTAAAGATGGAGTGACCGACATGGCACATGATTTCAGTTTAAATTTTATTGCCAAACCTTGAATAGAGCAGTTATTGTTTATAATTTAAATTGCTATTTTTTATGTTGGTTAACATGCACTCAGATGTTTAGTCTGTAGTTTTGATGATATTAAATCCATGCTCAGCTGTGATCAGAGAGATATTCTGAGTTGTTAAGAGTGTTTGAGATGTCAGCATTTTGATGTATTATGGATGTAAGTCTGACATGTTTGGAGGGACTCAGGAGAAATTTGCACTTCATCACTGTAGCTTTTTATTTTTAGTTATTGATTTAGCAACCTTTTGCCACTGGGTGGCAGCATTGAATATAGATTGTATTGTTTACCATCAGAGCTGGACACAACATTCATAGAAATGTCTTAGACTTGTTGTCAAATACAAGTCAGATTAGGATCTTCATGATTTCTTCTTAATGTTTTGCTTTAACCAAAGCAAGTTGTCAGATAGTGAGTATAATATATGCAGTGTTTTTAACCCAGTTCAGCCAACATTTTCGACTATTCACTGGAGCTACAGTAAGGCTGTTGCCCCAGAAAGGCTGAACATTGATTACTGAATGAAAGTGTTGTTTAATCACTTTCAATCTCAAGTGCACCGCAGGCCAGCTGCTGCCAATGTTTGCATGAGCCTCATCAGTTTGTTGGATAAGCATTATTTATTTTTTTTGCCTTCCACTTCATTCGATGTCTTACTTCACAGGAGTGATTAATGTTTTAGAGGAGTTTCTCCACACGCTACAGTTGATGCCTCAGTTTTAGATCACTGTATATGAATTGGGGGCGAGCAGATGCCTTAGAACAATGGGTTTTTTTTAACCCTTTTGAGCTTGTGTCTACATACGACCACTCATCACAGTTTTTTTACCTCTAATATTCTCAGACTGGGACATTTGGAGACCTAAAGAAGTAAAACTACCCAGTATTCCACAAAACAGCAGAAATTAGAGGGAATTCCAAACAATTTTTTATGACATTAAATTGATTTTTTTTAGGGACAGTCCGGTAATTTTGTCCACTTGACCCACCAAAAAATATTTGTAAAGTCTATGATGTACCCTGGGACACCGAATTACTAGGTGGAGTCACATTTACCCAATCCACCCCCAACCCTCGCTCTGAAACAGTCTGCTGTCAGCAGTGTGGACAGAGTAGAGTATGAAAGATTGTGGGCATGTAAATGAGAGTAGCTGTAGTATGAATACCTCTACCTCTACACTGTTAATTCTGTTTGTGGCAAATTTACACCTTCCCTGATATCATCCATTGCCTCTGCTACCTGCTGTATTCTCACTAGTCTAAGCTCGCAGTTAACCGTCTGTCCGTCAGTGAAGGCGGAGACTGCAGTCATTGCTTTCAGTTTAGGCCAGTATAGAAGATGCTTTGACCGAGAGTTACACATGGACTTACTATTTTATGAATACTAAGTGACCGTCAATCTAAACATTAAAGCATCTCAAACTGGCTGAAAAGTGTTGTTTTTTTCCCTTGGAGGTACAAAACTGAAACTTAATGGCGAGCCAAGGGCCAAAAGCAAATCTTTTGTATTGTATTATGCAAAATGTCACTGGGATCCCAAGTTCCCATGACTGACTTCCTGCGCAAAATATGCATGCTCAGATAATGTAAAATAATTACTAATTACACATTTACAGAGCATTTTTACCCCCCCAAAAAATAAAAAAGCATAAACTTTTTTATTGATTTTACTGATTTATATTATAATTTCTTTAATTCAGACAGAGGGGGTGGGTGTGTCAGTATCAGTGGTTGTACTGCCTGGGCGGTGACGGTATGTCAGGATTCAAATGCATTTATTTTAAGTTTTGAAGGTGGCGTTGAGGTTCTCTTTAATCATATTGTGGCCGCTGAGATTAATCATGTGACCCGTTGGAGGGGTCCAGACCCCTTAGATTGGGAACTACTGCTCTAGAATATTGAAATATACTGAGAATTCACACTCAGACTACTGAACACTTTAAAACCTGTTTACTGCGGAGGATGTGGGATCTCAATAGCCTTCGGTTACCTCTTGGCAGCACCTCAGTTCGAAGGAAGTTGTTGCTGAACAAAAGTCTAAAAATCTCTGAACATAAAGCTCTCCCAAGTGCGAGTAAATAAGAAGCCAACTGTATGTAACAATAACTGAACACCAGTATCCAACTGTGCCTACCTGCCTGGGCTTAAGAGTATAATCACACACTCGCACTGGTGGTAAGTGGTAGCTACCATTTGGGAAACAGAATATAGTTTTCAGCGACTTTTTTTTTTCGCTGCTTTTTATGGTGCCACTTATTCAACTGAACTACTGCTGTGTTTAGAAGCTTTCATTTAGTGATCTTTCACTGTTATTGCTGTTTTTCTTTTGGGTTTAGAAAACAGATCAGTTCTGTTCCAGCTGCTCTCTGCAACAGATAATTATGTAAAATGAGAAATATTCCAAAATTGTCCATGCAAATGTATGTAATGGTATGCTGTGCTACTTTATCAGTCTGGGGTAGATGACTGAAAGAAGATACACTGATGTGAGAATGACTCAACAATGAAAATGCCTTTTTTTTTCTTTGTTTGTCAGTTTAATTTTCTGTTTAATGTTCAGCTTTGCCTGCCTTGTTTTTTTTAGAAGCAGTGTCTGAATTACATTATGTCACCTTCTTAAAACAGTACCAACCCTTGTGTCTTTATTTTGTCTTTCAATGGAAACTGTCTTTAACCGAGTGAGAAGGGGCAGTAGCTGGCATAGGTGTGTTTTAGTCCTTCTACAGAGAGTAAAAAAGCTTTTAAATCAAACTTGTAAAACAGAAACAAGTTAATTCTACTTCCCACTTTGAGTTTCACACATACCAACCCCTGTTAAAATTGTTGTTACAGTTTCATCTGTAAAACCACAGAGGGACTCGATGTTGCATTTGCATTTATTTCAGCCGAAATACACTGCCTGTTGTTGTTCGATGTCACAAGCTGATTTGACTGGTAAATGTGATGTGTAAAAGACGTGTTTGCTCACATGTCCCTTGATGTTCATTATCACATCATCGGATAAATACAGTCAGACTAACTGAATTAAAACTCTGGCTTTCTCAGTGTTTGTCTGTAATGCAAGAATTTATTCTATTATGCTTTTATAAAACACTCTTGTGTACTTTGCAGACAAAGAAAATGAATTTGATATCGATCCCTGGCACTCACCTTTTCACTGCCCGTATTCATGTCCGTACACCTGAATCGCCATTGATAACACATCTAGGAGGGACAGTGGTATTATATTCTGACCTCATTTGCAACATGAGGGTGGAGATCTCTCATCACTGAGGGGCGAGATCTTGTCTGTGTCATGTACCTCCCTCTTCTGCCTGATTACACACTTTTGTGGTGTTTGTGCAAGAGAAATGGGGAGAAGTGTACATCAGTTAAAGAAGTTTTGAGCGAAAAGGGGAAACTTTGCTCTACTTTTTGTGGGCGATAGAATCTTCAGAGGGCAGTTGGACATTTTTTGAGTCCTCTTCATCCTGTTTGACTACCATGCCTGCTTACACAGTGACAGTTTCCACTGGGAGCCAGTGGTTCGCAGGGACAGATGACTATATCTACATTACACTGGTGGGCACGGAGCGATGCAGCGAGAGAACACTGCTGGACAAACCTCTGTACAATGACTTTGAGAGGGGGGCGGTAAGTGATGTTACACTGCTGTAGAGCTGTGAGGATGACTGTGTGACAATTGCATTCATTTTTATGTTCTGACAAGTGATAAGCATCAACAGCTGCAAACAAACACTGCAGGTATTGAGATAAAAGAGGAAGAAGATTCCAAGAGAGATATAACTTGAGTCTGTTCCAAAATTGTATTTTGGAGGGAAAATAACACTTTCCCTTATTTGGAAAAAATAAAGAAAATGTTTGCTGCTGTGAACATTAAACATATTTTAATGGGAAACCTTTATTATTTAGGATGTTCTATAAAGTAAAGGTTCACATGGCAGGTTTGTTATCTTTACTGTACAACATTCAGAAATTACATAAGATGTGATGTAAGTAGAGGTCCTTCTACAATGTCACTGAAATGTACTCTTGACTAATTTAACCGCTGCCATTAGTTTATTCTCCAGAGAGAATGCTTAAAGATTAAGTGATATAAGAAAGTAATAGAAGTTTTTTCATAAAGCACAAGAAATAAAATAGTCTGCATGTGCCTGTATTAAGTGGCATTTTTGCATATGTGAAATGTCCCAAAACTACTCTTTCCTGTGTCTTATTACCTGTAAAATGCATGTGTCTTACACAAAGCACGGGTGACATTCAGTTGATTCAGTAAATTACACATTTTTTCCAGCACATACTGCATATTTATTGAACCACCAACTTTATTGCAGGTGGACTCCTATGACGTGAGGGTCGGGGAGAACCTGGGTGACATTGTGTTGGTGAAGATTGAGAAAAAGAAGTACTGGGTGCATGATGACTGGTATTGTAGGTACATCACAGTCAAGACCCCATCTGGGGACTATGTGGAGTTCCCCTGCTTCCGCTGGCTGGTAGATGACAAGGAAGTGGTGCTACGTGATGGAAGAGGTAAAGCCTAACAGACTACCTGTCCACTCTTTGTCATCACACAGAGTCTGCTGTGCTGAAACGTAAGTTAAACACACAAGCTCTGCTCCATCCTTGTCTTTGTCTTGTCTCTGTTGTAGCACATCTGCCTCAGGATGATAAGACCAGCCTGGTCAAGCAGCACAGACAAAAAGAGCTGGATATGAGAAGAAAAACCTACAGGCAAGTTCACTCTATACATGCATATTTGTGGTTGAATGTTGTAGGAGACTGAGACTGCTCACTAATATCTACTAACTGCTGTCCTTTGTAGATGGAAAGAGTGGCAGCCAGGTTTTCCTATGAGCATAGATGCTAACAGACACAAGGATTTGCCCCGGGACATCCAGTTTGACAGTGAGAAGGGAGTGGACTTTGTGCTGAACTACAGTAAGGCGTACGTGCTCCCTGTAACAGCCAGCTGCAGCAAACAGGTTAACAGTAGTTGTGAGGACAGCTGACGCCCCTCAGTGCAGCTCAGAGGGAGTCAGTGGAATTTTAATGCAAAGCCATGATAACACGCCTCTATTTTCTGTACTCAGGATTACCTGGAACAAACAGAGGCATCATTGTGTGTTTATCAGCGGGGACATTTGCATTGCACTTTCATGCAGACATGAGAGAACTTACACATAGACACAATAACAGAAAACAAGTGCAGAACAAAACTGTTTGCATCAGGCAGCAGTTCTGAACAAAGCTAGAAATAGCAGAAATTACAAAACTTTGAAAATGAGGTCCTATAATATATCTGATTTATGAAATGGAGAAAATAGTTGAAATGGAAAATGAGTCACACAGAGCTTCCAAAGTGTTGACAGAAATACGGCATCTTTGTGGACAGAAATAGTTTAAGTAAATTTGCATTTAGTGCTGCTTCTTGCTGCAAAAAAATAACTACATGTAGAGTACAAGACGTAATTTCCTTTTCCAGAATGAGTTTTAATTGCAGTGTTTATTTAACTTATTACACCAAAATACATTAGATTTGACCTTTTTGATGTGAATATGGTGACAAAGATGATAATTATGATGAGTATAATGATGATGATGATAACAACCATGAATTTCCAGAATAGAGAACCTATTTGTGAACCAGTTCATGCACATGTTCCAGTCCTCCTGGAGCGACTTCGCAGACTTTGAGAAAATCTTTGTGAGAATCAAAAACACAATCTCAGGTCAGCCTCACATTTCTATTATATCGTATCATATCATGTCATATCATATCACATATATCAGAATGTATCATATATTGTATATTATCCAGAGTATGTGATGCAACATTGGAAGGAGGACTTCATGTTTGGGTACCAATTTCTAAATGGTTGCAACCCCGTAATGATCCAAAAGTGCACCAAACTTCCTGACAAGTTTCCTGTCACTAATGAAATGGTCTCTGTCAGCCTGGAGAGAGAGCTGACTCTGGAGGAGGAGATAGAGGTAAACATGGTTGTGTCAGTTTCTGTGAATCTGTTAATTTTCCATATCTAAGATTAAAACATACATTAAAACAAATGTACTCAATGTTCTGGCTCCAGGCAGGTAACATCTACATTGTAGACTACGAGGTGATAGACGGCATCAGTGCTAACTGCACAGACCCGTGCACACTGCAGTACCTGGCAGCTCCGATCTGTCTTCTCTACAAGAACATTCAGAACAAGATCCTGCCCATAGCCATACAGGTACAGTGATGTGTGTTACCATAAGGGGGGGCATTTCCTTTCCCAGTTGACATTTGAGTATAAATCAATGTCTCCTCTTTTTTCCTGCTTCTTCCCCATCATCTGCCTTTCTAGCTCGGGCAGACTTCAGGTGATCACAACCCGATCTTCCTGCCCACTGATGGTCAGTATGACTGGCTGCTGGCTAAGATCTGGGTCCGCTCGGCTGATTTCCAGTACCACCAGACCATTACACACCTGCTCAAGACACATCTCATCACAGAGGTGTTTGCTATTGCCATGTTCAGGCAGCTCCCTGCCGTTCATCCAGTGTATAAGGTAAAACTCTGGCTTGTTGATTGGTTGTTTGATTAACTGATTGGTTGATTGATTCACGGATTGGTGTGCCTTTCTTCCAGCTGCTTATGCCACACATTCGTTTTACCATCGCTATCAACACCAAGGCCAGGGAGCAGCTCATCTGTGAGTGTGGCATCTTTGACAAGGTGAGTTTGTGGATGTGTAGGACAGAAAGATGAAAGAAGGAAAGGAGAAGTAGGGACGAGGGAAAGGTTAGAGAAAAAGAAGAGTGCAAAGAGCAGCTTTACCTTGCTTATCTGTATTATACTGTACACAAACAAAGGGCACTTTGGTGACAGTTCATTGGGGGTTTTATTTTTGAGTTAAAAGCTAACAAAAATGAAACAATGAGGAAATGATGTGCTGTTAAGGCCTATTAATTAACGAAATAATATTCAGAAAAGGCCATAGTGCATTCAGTAATGGACACCACGTGCATAGTACATAGAAATAGGAAAACACAATCTAAGTGACACACGTTACGATGCTGTCTCTCCTCCATCTTAATCAAGGCGAACGCAACCGGTGGAGGTGGTCACGTCCAGCTGATTCAGAAGGCTATGAAGTGTCTGACCTTCAGGTCTCTGTGCTTCCCGGATATGATCAAGGCCCGCGGTGTGGACAAGAAGGAAGAGCTGCCCACCTACTTCTACAGAGACGACGGCTACAGGGTGTGGGAGGCCACAAAGAGGTAGTTTTTATAGACAGTGCTGATGAATAGTTTGTGTATTTGGGGAAAAGAAAAGAAAGGATGAACAGTTAGAGGTATGGGAACATTTCTACACGTGTGTGTGTGTGTGTGTGTGTGTGAGAGAGAGAGAGAGAGTGTGACAGAAATTCAAAGGGAGAGAAATTACAGCATTTTTTATTTCCCCAATGTGTGACCAGTGTCCTGTTTTCTTTCTGACAGTTTTGTGTCTGATGTGGTGCATATTTACTACACCAGCGATGAGACAGTGCAGGAAGATGAAGAAATCCAGGCCTTTATTAAAGATGTGTGCAGCTTCGGTATGCAGGACTTCGATTACTGTGGTGGGTACATTACAGACAATGTGTGAAGTTTCTTTTTTTCAAGGAGGGAAGCAGCTCACCCCTTTAATATTTAATTAGTCCAATATTTCATGGAGAAGACAGGTATGGCAGGGAACAGACAGCATTACAAATTCAAATCTGTTCTGTCATTGACAAATGGTTTGAGGGTGAAGACAGGAAGCCATTGTGTCTTATGGTGTCACAGACTGAGCACCAATGTTGTAATACCCTTCCTGCATTTCTCCATTAACTATCTCAGTGCATTGTGTAAGGATCTTTTACACAGCAACCCTACAAAAGAGAAAAGGTTTGATTTTTGTAAATCTGGCTTCGTCTATCTCCGTGCACAGAGTTTCCCAAGTCTGTGAAATCGCGTGAAGAGCTGATAGAGTATCTGACCGTTGTTGTATTCACTGCTTCAGCCCAGCATGCAGCAGTCAACTTCGGGCAGGTGAGTAAGAGATAATCAGGAACTTAACATTCAATATTTATATTATATAATACTGATCAAATATTTCAGTTTTATTAGCCTTACAGTTGTGGATGTATTCTTGTCCGTTGACACAGTTATGATTCATTAATTCACTTTTCAGTTTAACAAATAGTTTGTTCACAAGCACATGGATGTGAAGAAGTACTCATATGCTCGACTTAAGTAAAAGTACTAGAAATATGGTGTAAAAATACTCCAAAACACGTACATTTAAAATCCTAAAAACAACACAAATGTGTTAATTTTTTCAACTTTTTACTAGTCTTTGCTTTTTTGTGAAATAGCCGATTCTCCAATCTGAGAAGTTTAGAGGGAAAATAAATAAAAGAGCTGTCAGATATATAAAGTGGAAAGAAAAGTATAATATTTGCCTTTGAAATGCAATGAGGTATAAGTATAAAGTAGCAGAAAATGGAAATATTCATAGTTCCTTAAAATTCAACATAAATACAGTACTTGAGTAAATGTACTGCATGCACATACTGTATTCTTTGTGTACATTGTGCAGTATGACTGGTGTTCCTGGATCCCCAACGCTCCATCTACCATGCGACGGCCTCCACCCAACCAGAAGGGCTTGGCAGATGTGAACATGATCATCGAGAGCCTCCCTGATCGCGGACGGTCCAGCTGGCATCTGGGGGCTGTCTGGGCCCTCAGCCAGTACCAGGAGAACGAGGTACGGGGAGGGAACTCTGTATCCAAACAAACAGGCAATCACTCGCACAGTTGCACACGTCTGACTACAGACTGGGTTGTTTTAAAGACCAGAAAAGAGGAAACTATAAATTTCCCAAAAAGCTTCCTTCTACTTAGACATGCAGTTTTCCCCTGCAGTGTGCCTCCAGGCTGAATGACCTGTCTCCTCTCTTGCCCTGCAGCTGTACCTGGGCATGTATCCTGATGAACACTTCATAGAGAAGCCAGTGAAGGCGGCGATGGAGAAGTTCAGGAAGCAGCTGGCAGAGATATCCAGCTCCATCAAGAGGAGGAATGATGGAAAGAAGCTGCCTTACTACAACATGTCCCCTGACAGAATCCCAAACAGTGTCGCCGTTTGAGGAATAAAACTCACTTCTTTGGAAAGGAGGATTGTCATGTTCCTACTTGATATTTTGCATAAAGAACGCTGAAGTTCTGCTAACATTACTGAGTCCAAATACGCTATTAGAGAACTATTTTGTCATCCGAGTGTGTGATTTTGATATGTAAATGCATAAATGACAAAAACTAGCCAGCTTCTAAACTGTTTTTTGTCGCTTATTTGACTGAATATCTGTTAAAATGTTGTTGCATCAAGTTTCCAATTTATAGCTGCAGTGTGTCATTTCTATCTGCTGTGCAAAACAAAAGCCGCTGAATAAAGTTAAATTGCTTTACATTTGATAATAACCTTTTAACAGTGTCTCTCACAAACAAATCCAGTTACCATGACATTTAAATTCAGACTGCACAATAAATTACACGGCGTACACTGACAAAGACAGAAAGCATTAAAAGTAACTTAATTTTATTTGGTTGTTCTTTTTAATTCTACATACTTTTGTTCAATAATGGGAAATTAAACTGAAAACACATCAATATTTCTTTTAAAAACATAAGTACTTTTACCAAATTCTTTACAGTTACTATTCCAAAATAAATTCACAGACAAACTTGTGGAATGATATCATAAGACAGGGGAACAGTCATATATGTTCAAGTCCAGTCAGTAGTAAACAAATGTAGCTTTATGCAAGTTACACTATTCCCAGACGTGATAAAATTGAAGCAATAGGGCAAAGACAGACAGAAAAGTCTAGATTGAAAATACAAGGACAGTGAAGCTGAGAAAACACCTTTCCCTCTCAGTGGATGTCCTGCTCAGTAGGATTATACAATGAAGAAATCTGTTCATGGTGACAGAAGAAAGAAAGTAAGAAAGAAAAATCTGCTCTCAGAAAGGAACATGGCTGCTTGTAAAAGCATCTTAAAGTGGCATCAATCTTCATCAGGACTACATCAAAACTTCTGTGTCAGACTTCATGAAAGGAGCCAGCTCCTATGATTAGTATGTAAAAAAAAAAAAAAAAAAAAGGAGAAAAAAAAGAAGCATAATCTACAGTCAATCTTTACTTTTTCATCTGAAGGAAGTCTAAATATTCCATTTTGTTTTTATGTGAAAAACATGAAATGTTAAAATTTGAAGCTGTGGTTACAGATCTATATTCTGCCCTTTCAAAACAAAACTCAATTTAAAAAGCAAGAAGGAAGAGCAGATATTCACATTCGGGCTGGCAAACAAGCTTTTTACAAGTGTAATACCTAAAAAATAAACAAAGTGCAAAACAAAGAGTGAAAGTCATTTTCTGGTACTTATGCCTGGGAAATCAACTAAGTGTAAGTTGCATAAAATTACTAATGAAAGGGGGGGTTTAAATGAACAAATTGTACTCTGTTTTCTTTTTAAAATAAATACAACACAAAATGAAGAAATAATCATTTTATACCCAGATGACACTCTGGACATTAAACACCATTACATAACTATAGAATAGAATAACAACAAAAGGGTAATTGCACTTTTTATCTGTCTAATTGCACTGAGCCTCGCAGGTATTGAAGTTTCAGGGAAGCTTCTCGTTACTAGGTCTTAATCCAACTTGACACGCGACGATTCCGTAGGCTCGTATTATGTATTTAAAATTATATTAGACTCCAGATCTCAAGTCACCATGGGGCATATACACAAGTACTGTATGCATTGTCGCAGAAAACAAAGTGTGGATTTCATTTATTGCTGCTGCTGCTGAGCAGTAATTGTCAGGTATATTGTTGGACCATTGTTATTCACAGACAGTATACTGGTATCAAAGACAGTTTTTTAAAAATGTGTATGTTGCTGGAATGGCTGTGAGGCTCAACATGAGCCTGGCATCGCTGTGCTCCCACTTACACAAAAGCACTTACAATGACTGTAAGCCCAAAAACACATCACCCTGAGAAATCAACCGCTGCCTACTTCAGACTGCACCTTCAGCTTCACACCAGCAGGTGGCGCTCCAGTCAGCTCATCAATGAGTGATGATGCACACTACCTATCACAGGCAGTAAATGTGTGGACATATTGCATGTGTTTCTTAATTATCTACAGTGAAAATGTTGCACTGATAAAAAAAAATCACCTTGAATACTGAAATAATGCAGTTCCAGTATCTAAGCTGTGCTTCACTGTGCTTCCTCTGGGAAATGAAAGGAGGAGGTGTTGGAACAACTGATCTTATCTGAGCCACGTAAGGCCAGATGTGAAAAAAACACTCAATCAAATGAGAGGCAACATGCTGGCTGTCTTGTGATTATATACTAAAATAGACATCCTCCACCATGTGATAAGAGCCTGGCAAGAACAAACAAAACACTTTCACTGAAACTGAGACTTCTGCGCGTCTGAAATGCTTGGTAAAGATCCTACAACAGCACCGTGTTACCACAACATAATTGTACATTTGCAGGTCCTGACATGCAAAGCGAAAAATTTGCCTAAAGTTTTTTTGAAGCAGTCTGCCTGTAATCACAACTATCTATTTGAGGTCAATCAATGCAACGCCTGCATAAGGGGAGCAACAGGAGGACAGGCTGAAAATAGGCAGTTGTGGATTTCTCAAGGCATATCCTGTGACGAAGCAAACAAATAAACATATTAAAAACTGCACATGGAATATCACACTGTAAATACTGTGTCATTCGCATGATAGAAAAACATGAGCGATGCTGTTTATGCCCAAAGGCTCTCATTATGATCTCAAGACATGGAAATTATCTCGCAATTTCCTGTGACCAGTAAAAAAACTTTTTTTTAATATTTTATTTATTTTTTGAATCATTTTTTAAAAAGTTTACATTCTCAAAGCCTTCAGAAAGTTCACGTTGGGGTAGAGAAGTCATGTGGTGGGACTTTCTGCATTTAGAGTGATGAGCTTGTTATATTCAAAACTCTTATTTTTTCTGTTTTGACTAAAACACTAACATGTTTCCTTCAGCACGATTCCATTTTTAACCCCAATTCCTTTTTTGTCATCCATGGGAGGGTTAATATATATACGTATATGTGCATATGAGGAAATGCAACGTCAAATTAAACAGGAAAGAAACATTTCCAAGTTTGTTCGAGTGTGCTCTCCCCCATGTACAACATATAAGACAAAATTTATATTAAAGAAAAAAATATAGAAGAATAAAAGGAATGGAGGGGGGATTTGTTGTGGAACTAAAAAACAAAAGTGCTTCGATGCATGTCCAGATCAAGGCCTGGTCGGATCCAGACCAGCTCGGAGCTGACAGACCACAGCAACAGAGATGGCAGTAGCTGGAATGTTCCAGAGATCCGATGCGCGGCGCTACATACTGATCCACGGCAGGTGAGCCCAAGGCTCACAGGAGGTAAAAACGAACAAATCTAACAAACCCACAAGTAAACAAACCACGTTACCAGAGACGTGTAGGCCTCCGGAGCTGTTTGTGAGTCCATTTGTCTCAGTCCTGCTCTCCCAGAGGTGTACATACAAGTGTGTGTGCGTGTGTGAATGTGTGTGTGTGTGTGTGTGTGTGTGTGTGTGTGTGTGTGTGTGTGTGTGTGTGTGTGTGTGTGTGTGTGTGTGTGTGTGTGTGTGTGTGTGTGTGTGTGTGTGTGTGTAGAGGGCTATGCTCCAGGCCTCTTCAGACATTTACAGAAGTCACTAAAAACAGTCCGGTCCCGGGAAAGGAAAGAGGCGAGATGTGTGGTTTGAGGGGGTAAGTGGAGGGAGGGATAAGGTCCGATAGGAGGAGTGTGGATAGAATAAGATAGTCAAGGTCTGTCTCTGTGGATCGAGTTTTGGGAATATAAGATGACCAGAGGAGGACATAGGGTCAAGTCTGCGATCAGAGGAAGGGGACTGTCTGGTGGTTCCTCAGTCAACAAGCACTTCCACGACAGCTTCACTGTGGGCCTGTTTGTGTGTGTAGTATGAGTGGGACAACCGATGGCATGAACTGAACGGTCAGACATGGAGCACCTCCATACTGTAGTCCTCTGTCTCTGTGTACTGGGAGGAGTTTGTGTCCGACTGGGTGGGGGCCAGAGCTTCCTTGCTCTCCAGACTCGGCTCCATGAGTGGCGGCTTCTCCAGCACCAGCTTTTTACACGTGTCTGGCCGGTTCTGGACATATATGACCCGGTTGTAAGCCTTGAGTCTCCTCCATAGGTGGATATAGACTTTGCACTGGACATACATGAACACCAGTCCACCAGTGAAGCCGATGGCCACAACCACCAGTTTGGTCCAGAAAGGCCATTCCAGGATCCCTGCAGGACAGAGGACAGACAGAAAAGAAACATGTGCACAAGTCAAACATCAGACCAGACTGTACTTTAACTCCATTAAAATAACTAACATCAATATAATCTGGCATAGTATTCATTGTGTAATTATTTAACCCTAGCAGAAGTCTTCATGTTGCTTTTCATACTGTAGCAACATGAATAGAAACAAATGTGAATGCACCTCGGAGGCCTAGGGGTTCAGGCGCTGACCATGAACCGAAAGGCGCCCAGTTCATGTCGGTCCGGGGACCTTTGTTGCATATCATTCCCCATCTCTCTCTCCCTCTCTCTCTCTTTTTCTCATCTTTCCAATGTTAATGCCTAGTTAAGGCATACAATGCTAGACAATAAAGATAATTATATATGACAAAAAGAAACAAATGACTGCTATAAAACTTAAAATAAACACACTACAGAAACACTAACACTACAGCAGGCTTTACAAACTGGTGATTCATTGTATATTTGCTAAATCATGCAAAAACATGTCTATGGGCCTTGAGGCAGGAGCAACATTTCTGCAAAACTCTGAAAAATAAAAAAGCTAAAAAAGTAAAAATTTTGAGAACTGTAAATATGTGTAACAAGCTGCAGCATCATCCAAAACAAAAACTGAAAAAACAAAATCCCTATTTTTTGAAAATACACAGCTGACCTTCAGCCCATCAGTCTTTTCATGTTGGCTACTCTATTTTAGGTTGTTTCAGATATGAACACAAGAAAGGTCCACATTAGAGTGACTAAATCCTACCCTTGATGATAGAATAACTATGTGGAATGAAACACAAAAATGCCTCATATAATGTGAAGAATACCAGTTCACACAAGGCAAACAAATTCTAATCAGTAGGGTATTAACTACGCTTATGCAGGACAGCGATATCAGGTGCTCTATATCTAACTTTATGAGAAGAGATTAATGTGTCATCTGTTGTGTGCGAATGTGTAAGTGAGGTTTGTTTTAATGAAAACCCTCAGTCACAAAGTGTAGCACAGAAAAATTAATCACAGCAGACTGACAGAGTTGAGGAACAGTGTGTCTGTCTGCATTCATTAGGTTGGAACATTCACTGAGGCGGTGTGAATATAACCGTCCTTTAAGGGTGAAGAAGTATTATTTTATCCTGAAATCAAGGCGGAAGGAAAAGGGAAGGAAAGGGGCGTGAAGTGCAGTAGGAAAAGAACTGGATACAGCTGACAGAAACGCTGGCGGAGGGGAAAACACAATTTGAAAGTCAAAAGGTCAAAGTTGAAATGTTTACCTGGGATTCTTCCGGCTGCATGAGTAAAGAAAGTAGTATCATGTATCATGTATTACCAGAGACACAACAAACAGATTGATAGAAAAGGCAAAGCGCAGAAAGTAAAGACAAATATTACAGTTCAGGATGTAATTCATCATGCAATCATAAACATGAAATCTGCTTCACAAATCATAGTAGACAGTGAAAGACATTTCCAGGTGTACTAGATCTAACTCTACTGTAATCTTTGTAAGCAAATTGAGAAAAATAACATAACCGTGGTTCTGTGTGACTTGGCAGAGGACAAGCAGGGCTGGTGAGGAACTATTTGGCATCACCATGGTGATTGAACCTGACAGCCCTCAGGGACTCTAACAAGTCTGAATCATCAGGTTGGGCTAAACAGGCACAGCCTGCTCTTCCATCTGTACACTGTCTCAGAAGCACCAAATATGCCAGAGTGGAATGAGTGGCAGCAGACGTAGTGCCAGAGCGTGATACAACAGCTCATCATTAAAGCAGCCTTCTCCATTTTTAGCCCCGATAGCGAGAGCACGGCAGGAGGGCGGCATCAATCTGTCCTCAGTAACTCAGTGCTGCTGACCACTTTGGTCAGGATGGATGCACAGACACTAGTGGGACTGAGGTTTTTAAAAAGACCATAATACCCTACTGACCATTTGCTTTCTTGATTATTGCCTGTAGCTTTTACTGTCTATGGTCCGCAGCAGGTTCCAATTTGGCACATGCGTAAATATTGCAAAAGATGAGTTCTAAGAGGTTTTCACAGGACACAACAACCAATTCCAGCCAATTTCAGCCAATACTGTCCAGTCTCTATGCTAACATTAGCTAACCGGCTGCTGCTTCTTGTACAAACACACAGAAGTGTGGGATCAAGCTTCCTTAACTCTCAGCAAGACAGCAAATAAGTGAATTATCCATGTAAAAATATTTCTTCAAATTTCTTCACAGAAATAATATTAAGATTATTGTGTGTTTAGACATGCATCTTTTGGCTGTCCAGTCTTTGCCACAGGCATTTACTGTCACATGGCTGCCAGACCTTCCACTCTTACATGTTTTGCAGTTTTTTTCTGTAGTAAACACACATGCTGATAAAAAAAGTCACTGTCAAATGTAGACTTTTCTCCTTGTTCTTTCCTTTAACAACAAAAAATAACCATACACTGACCTTCAACTTGGCCATTTTAATTCACACCATGCACACAAAACCTGATCTAAGCCCCTTGAAGAAGAAAATGAACCAAAATCACTTTGCAATAATAAACTGACTCAGAGTCTCAACCTGGATCTTAGAGTGACAGATGTAAATATCTATCTTTAAAATCTCTTTGCTTCTTGTCTTTTATCTCTCAGCTTTCTCTTTTATGGACTATAGGTCTGAAATCAAAGTGAACCGAAAGTCCAAAAACACTGACAGAAAATCATCTCTAAAGAATCTCAGCACACTCTTCTACACACTTTGATGCCCACTGAGCTTCTGCCAGTGAATTACGCCCACAAGAACTCCAATCTCAGAGAACATTTCACACTATTCATGCTCAATACTCGTACCGCTGAAATAACACTACAGTTATGCAGATTTGTTATTAAACACTGTACATGAATGACTTGGAGACGGCGGCAGATTGTGGATGAATGGATTACATCCAACACAGCACTACATCCAACACAGACAACGGCTTTACATTAATGCTTTTGTGTGTCTGCTCATCTGGGTCTGTACTGACCTTGTTTGATTTCGTCAGCTGTTCTGTCGATGAGAACGTAGAGCGACCATACCACGCAGGTGATGGCGATGACATGGAAGGTGACGGAACACATGATCTTCCTTCTCTCGCTCGCCGTCATCTGTAGCTTCTCCCACTGTGGCAGACGGCACAAAAGGACAAAAGAAGGACATTAGAGGAGGTCAAAAACAACACATCCACACACAAATAGAAACATAAGCATGCTTTCGAACACACAGTTGGCATCAATCAGTTGGCTCTCTATGCCTTTTTCTGGAGCAGCTCAGAGTGTGAGCTAAATATTTGATGGAGAGCATTCAGCTACTGCGATCGTGATCCAATGCTACATAGGGCTTTTAGGCGGGGCGAGTAAGATGGAGAAGAAAAGTGGCACGCAGCACCCTGCACGCAGAGGCCAGGTACCTCGTCTGTCACTGGCTTCACAATACATCATCAGGAAAATACAATGCCAGCACCATCAGATCAGGTTTGTAAATAAGACTGTATAGGCTCTCTCAACATCCAAATGCATTACTCGTGTATTCAGTGATGAAATGGGACACTCGCAGGGTCACTTTGATGCAAAGCGAGTGTCACCGTACAAGATGAAACCAAGCGTCCACTGATAAACACTTCACACCACAACCAACATACTCATCTCATCTTGAATTTCTTTGCGAGCTCACACATGAACAACTTCAGTGTTTCACCAGTGGGATTCAGAAGCTATTAACAGTGGAGCATTTGTTTAAGGCCTTTTGTGCAGCTAATGAAGGGTGGATGAATTTTAATTAGAGTGTCCTGCTATCTCCAGGCCGCAGCGATTGATAAGAGCTTTTAATGGAAGTGTACTTCCTCTTAACCATTTGAAATGAATCACAACCCCCCTTCAACAAGTTCCGCTTATAAAAAAGGCTTCAAAGCTCAGTGTCATGCTTGTGTTATCTTCAAGACAGATTGGAGACAGCTTTTGGCATTTTCAGCTTCATAACGAAGGAGTGATGTGAGCTTAGTTGGGACACTTGGAGGAAGAGCCGCAACGACAGCCTGAATTTATCCAGAGACTGAGCTAATGAACATGAGCATTAATTGACTTAGAGTTCCACTTCAGCTGAATATACAAATATACAGACTGTACATTACCTTGCGCAGCGGTTTGAGCTTGGTCTCCATGATGAACTCATATTTACAGAGCTCACAACAGCGAGTGTCGGAGCTCTTGATCCACTGCTGTAGACAGGACTGGTGGACGAAGCGCAGGCTCCCTGTGCAGTGGCATGGTGTGATCAGAGGGCTCTCGTCATCCCCTTCACAGTGACAAATCCTGCGGGAGCCAAAGAATACAGTCAACACTAAGCTAGAAGCAAGACAGCTGTAATAGGAGGAAGACAGGGAAGAGGAAAGATCAAAAAGAGAAACGTTGGCAGGCAAAGCCGACAGATGTTTCCCCAAACTCGGGCAAACTTGAGTTTTGGAAGATATTATGTCAGCAAACTTGTAGCATTCTCTAGTAGTACGTATAATAAGACAAGGTGTTGGGAAAGCATGGCAGGTGGGGATATAATTTTCACAAATATAAACGCATATTAACACCCTGAACGCAGAAGACAAGGTCCCACATGGATAAACTCAATCAAGACAAACTAATTTGATTCAAACCACTTCATTTGCAAATCAAAATGACATTTTCAGAAAATAATGTTCTGTGTTCTTGCAACATCGCAGCACAAAATTGACAAATCTAATCTCAGATACCCTGCAGTTGTGGTAATCTTAGTGTTTCAAGAACTGACACAATTTGCCTATAATGATAACGTTCGGTTGATTCATACAAGGAGTACAGACAATATAATCAACAACAATGTTATGGCATCCGGCACAACACAAGTTACATTTTTAAAGCTTCTCAAATCTTGTATTTGTAGCAAAGCCACTGCATGCAGTTGCATTGAACTTAACAGCAGGTGTTTGTGATACTGTGTTAAGCCCCTGTAGATGCTTGGTAAGGTATTCTGGGCACAGGTACCGACAACTGGAACATTTGATTAGGTGTCTGCTACCTCTAAGGGCTGCTGGACAGGCTTTTCTCAGAGAGAGGAACCAATCAGATTTTTAATATCAGACCGAAGCGGTCCCACTCTTCTCCTCAAGATCACATATCGGACACTGACTGACAGGTTTGAGGAAAGAAGTTATTAGTCACTCACACTAAGGAGGAGTGTATTTGTGAGATAGATTTGTGCGAGACTCCCGACTACGTACACACTTTCTCCAGCGAGTCAGCCACAGTCTGCCAAAGCAGTGAGTTCAATGGTATGAGACAAAATGGGGTTGAAGAAGGTTATTAGAGCAACCTATTACCTCCAAGGCAAGTTAATATTACACACACCCCACTTGCAGAAAGGAGAAGCTAAAGTCATTATGATTTCAGAATTCAATGTCAGGACATTGACCTTGTTTGCGGCTGATCCAACCAGGGAGAAATAAGCCCAAAAAAATCAGCTATTGCTTGTTCCACCACAACACACCTTTGATTAAAGGTCAGGCTGATGTCTCTGGATTAAATAACAGAACAATGGTAAAGGGAGGAAAATCTGTTGTTGTGTAGAATAAAGTGCACCCGATGCCCCTGCAGAGGCTTCATAGTTAAATGGACAACAAGCTACACAAGGGAAGGAGCTAGTAGTTATTTCAACCTACATTTCAAATCCAGTTTTTCTACCAGCTGACACATAAACCAGGAAAGGCTTCTACTGTCTTTTCCCCTCAGTGAGATGCAGGGAGCAGTGGGGAAAAGAAACAAGTAAATGAAGGCATTGAAAAAAAAAAAAGGTGGAGAAGGAGAGGAGAGAGCAGGGTGTTGTCTTTATCGCGGTTCAGGGGAGGATGAGAACTCATGAAGACACACATGCACACCCACACATGCCCACACATGTTAGAAAGTGAGCAAGATGTCTATTTCCAGACTGATCTGGCCAAAGCGTTACAAGATTAAAAGACAAAGTGAACAAAGGAGGATTAAGAATAGGTAATTTCTACGGGATTCTCAACTAGAGGAGGAGGTGCAGGGAGATGAATGTAGAGCGAGGGATTAAAGGATAGAGGAGGCACAATTAACATCTCTGGAAGAGTGTTTTTTTTCTGTTGGATCTGGCTGGGCTGCTTTGTTTGTGTTTCTTTGCATGGATCACAAGATGATGAACTGCAGTTTGTCATCCCACACATACTGTACTGTACTCTGCTCTCAAAAAAACTAAAAAATCAGCTTGAGGACCTGAAATCTTACTGCTCATATCAAGGTTTGGCGACTGCTGAAATGGACAGATTTGACAATATTTTTTTATGTTCATGCTGATTTTTTTTTTTTTTTTTACGTAGGAGGGGATAACCGTATAAGAATCCCTACACCTCCACAAGGATCCACGATGGAAATAAAGTGATCAGTAAACAACATGAGTGGAAGAGACTGTAGGGATCTTCAGCTGAAATGAAGATTTCATGGAGGCTTCAGCTGCTGAATAAAGTCAAGATTTTATATAAACTACAGCAAAAGGCACTTTTAAGATAGAAACCTCACAAATACAGCACATAAAATTCAGCTTTGTCATTCAAAGTGGCGTGTACGTCCATACATTTAACAGAATTATCCCAAACCTTTATACGAATTTACAGTTAAATTTACTGTATCAGTGTTAAAAGGCTCTGGATGGATGTGGGTGTAGCCTGTGTCAGCAGCAGCAAATTCAAAGCACTGTTAGGCATAGGAGGGAAGTTAAAATTTAATTTGTATCTTTTGAGCAGCCAAAACAGACCGTGTTTAATAGTAATTTTAGGATGCAGAGGCGCCGTTAGAGAGTGTGTCAACATTAAAATGTGAGAAGAAAAACAGAGTTGGAAATCACAAACACCACAAGCTGAGAGGGAAACAAGTTCTGCAACATTGCCGCCCTGGTGAGGCATTCAATTTGTTCCTGTCCTCTCTCCTGGACTGTCTGTTTCCTCGTACTTTTCTCCTGTGGCATTCACCTGATCTTTGAACTCTTCACTCTCTCAGTGCGTCGCTTTAAGATCCCCTCCCTCCAGCTGTTACATGTTCTGCCCTCGTTCTGAAAATGTTTATGTATTTATTTTCAAATGAATTTTTCAACGCCAATCTGTTGTTTTTTGGGGCTTTTTGCTAAACAGGTTTTCACAGGGCTGGTATGGGGCAAAGAGTGACTGAGGCATTTTGTTCTCTCTTGTTCTCAGCCTGTTTTCAGTCTCAACAGTTTAAGCTCGACACTCTGCCAGAGACATGCTGATCAGAGAAAAACACAATTCAATTAGCAGCCGCACCACTGGAAGCCATCTTCCTTTTTCCTCCTTGCCCCCTCTCTGCATGTTTTACTAGGTTTGTGTGGGCATGCTTGCCCTAAAAGAGAATATTAAATTTACTGAGAAGAAACTTATCTTTCAGAGGAAGGTTAAGGACTTATATAGACTATATTGTCAGACGTAAAAGCTCAAAAGGTACCCCATGGAGATTTGAATACTAATAAATTTTTGTTTGTATCTGGTGCTCTACTAGTACATGCTCGAGGACCACAAATATGCAAATAATGGAAGTATGTAGAGTGTGCAAACACTAAAACATTAAGAAGAAGAGAAGAGGCAAAGCAAGATGCAAGAACTGGAGCAGGCAGTCAACGCAGAGAAAAAACTATAATATAATAATTGCCTTTTACTTCTAAGGTTGGCCATGTCTATCAAATAAAGGAGGGGTTAAATGACACCAGGTTTTTATTCGTATCTGCTGATCAACAGAAGTGGTAGTAATGTGTTAAGCAATGCAGAAAGAAATGCATTCAATATGCACACAATGCATTCTGGTGCAAAACACTGTATGTTAACACTGTGTGTGTGTACCTTTTCTTCTCTAAAAAGGTGACTTTTCTGATAAGGAAAGAAACGAAAGAAAGTCACCTCTTATCAGACTTTCAACTATTACATGCTGAAATCTTGTCAATAAAAAGCTGGATAATCATTTACGTGCCATTCGTTTGTGAAAAACAAGCACCCATCCACGCGCACACACTCTGTTAAACAGGTGAGGTCAGTCTGCTGCTCTGAGCTCACGCTTCAAGCCACCTGACAGAAAGATGTGTGTGTTTGTGTATGTGTGTGCAGTCAGAGACTATGCAGGCTATTTGAAGCCAATAATCTGCCTCCTGATCTCTTGCCTTCACCTTTCCCATTCTAAGCTCATGTTTCTCCATCAGCCCACAGCTGACGTAGAGTATAATCTGGAACGGAGTTCATGCATAGACGAGAGCTGATGGGACAAAAACAACAAGACAGAAATATATAAGTGACATCTGACTTAACTCTCATGGGGAGTGGACAGACAAATACGATAACCCATCTATGTAGGGCTCAAAATTCCTTTTCTTGGAGGCATGGTAAGATCTGCCGCTAGCAAACAAGCCACACAGCCATGACCCAGTCTGCCACGTGAAAAAGACTGATGAGGGCCCTGTTGACCCAATCAGACTGACTCCATCGGTTCAACGTTGTTTATAGTCCCCTGTCTGCCTCTGTTCCACTATTTCTCAGACGGACACTCACTTCATTCCTCAAAACTATTACATTTTCTACCCTAACCTCTGCCCCTCCATCTTTTCCTAAACATTGCCATTGCCCCCTATTCCTGCCTCTACTGCAAAGCTTAAAGCTTTCGGGCAAAATCAATCACAAATTTTCGCAGCCCATGTAAGACACTTTAACGCCTCATCGATCTAATAACAATGAAAAATTATTTAAAAAACACAGCCTGACAGCACAATGAAAAACATGGCAGATCATTGAGATAACAGTGAAGTGAGATGAAATGAAATGAAATGAAATGTTCTAGATACACATGAAGGGTTGAATCAGGATAGCTGAGGAGAAGGCGTATGGTTTTGCAGTGTGTGTAGACTTAGCATTTATGTGTCTAGTTCTTCTGATTAACAGCTCCACTCCGAGCAGGGGTTTGGAGGACAAATACTGCTGTGGTAATAAAATATTCTGCTGGGTAGTTACACTACAGGTTGAGAAGCTCTCCACTACTCCACAGGGCTCTAGGGTTCACTGCCACGCAATGGCACAGGGGTGGTCTGGGCTCTACCAAGTCACAGGAAGGGGCGGGTGTGGATTATACCATCCAGATAGTCACCCACCTGCAGCAGTCCCCTGATAGCGAATAGGGTGACAGTGGCCCAGTTTTCTCTGACAAAGGGGATGGGCAGCAGTCCAAGTCGCTGTCCTCATCCATATAACACAGGGGGGCGAGAAGAGCACCTGGCCTAGCCCTGGTGATTGTTTCTGGGGTTGCCAGCTGGCCCATGCCCTTTGTGGCTGGACTGGGCCGGTACTCCTCAAACACGTCGTCATCTCCCAGTTGATCCTCGAGGGGAAACCCTGACTCGCTGTCTTCCAGCCGGGCGCTGGAGGACTTGGTGATGTGGAGGTGAGAGGCGTAGCTGCCGAGCTCAGAGCACTGAAGGCTGGCCGAGGTAGAGGATCGAGAGAAGGGGAGGAGGAGACGGAGGATGTTGGCGCTCGGGGAGGGATGAGGCTGAAGGTGGGTGTTGGACAGAGGAAGAGCAGGAGCGATGATGGTGGGATCAGATGGGAGACAATTGGCGGGTGGGATGCCCAGCATGTATTTGTAGTTGTTGGTGAAGGAGGGGACAAGGTGGGGGTGGGTGCGTGTTGAGAAGGCAGGATTTGGGTTCTGGTATGCGGGTGCTGCAGCCAGCTTGACGTTGAGTGTGTGCGCCCTTCGATCCGAGCTGGGTGGCTGAGGAGGTTCGGGCTTCAGCTCCAGCTCCCCCTCGGAGCAGGTTCGGTCGATGAAGTGCAGACCTCGACAAAGACTGTCCACGCGCTGGCCCACGTCGTTCAGAGACATGGAAAACCTGAGCGAGCCATTGGGGCGGATGTTGACGGATGAGGGGCGGATCAGTGAGAGCCAGTCTCGTTGTTTGGCGTGTTTTGAAGCTGGCAGGCCGTCTGTGCAGAGGGTGGTCACTGAAATACCCCCTGAACCTTGACAGGTTTTACCGTTAGAATTCAACAGAACCACAGCAGTCTGCTTGTGACAGTCCTGATCCTGACTGCTGCCGTGAAAGTGTTCGTGCGTGTGCGTTTTATGAAAGAGGAGCGTGATTGACGATAGCGAGGAAGACAGGAGGAGAAGGAATGAGAAAGGACAAAAAAAAGAGAAATGGAAAAGACATCATGCATTTGAAAACAAAGGAATTTGAAAAACGGAGATAAAAGGTTTCAGGGGATTTGCCTCTGCTTGAAAATATCAAACTCTAGATGACATTTGTTACTATAAAATCCATTTTACAGCAGGGCTACCTCCAACAGTGACAACTCAAGAGTAAAGGGTAAACCAACAGCGCCCATTAATAAGGTTCTTCACCAGTAATGGACTGATAAATAAGATTACATTTCTTGTCCTCAGGTGTTCATATCACTGTGGACATAAATGACATCACCGGCAGTAAGTGGAACTGAAACAGTCTGTACCTGCAGATGTCCTGGCTGGATGGGGAAACCGACGTCCTCGAGAAACTGCATGGAGCGTTGACTGAAGTCGGGCTCCCAGCCTGAGGAACAAAACACATACACAACAATATAACTACAGAAATAACTACCGTATTGTTCAACAAGATCAAATCATATCTCCCGCGTTGCCAGGACAGGTCTTGTGTGGTGAGAATTTAACAGGCTATCAGTGTCTGAACCTGATATTAACAGAAAGAGTGATAGCGCCGCGTCACACACTGGTGCACAGGATGATAAAAAGGAAAAACACAATACGGGCAGTTAATCTATCTGATTAAAGTAGTGCCAGGCAAAATCTGTCTCAGATGCATCACAGATCAGGCAAAACACCAGGCTTGCCGCAGAGAGAAGCGCAGAAGAGACAGACTGCGAGACAGAGGGAGATTTATGAAGAATGAGGCACTGAGAGAAGCACAGCTGGAGGACGTGAGGCTGTGGACTTGTTCAGCATCCACAGAGAATTTTTAAACAGATGCGCCTGCAGGTACAAAGCTGTCATAATAAAAATACCTTCAGCATTATCTACTGTAGCTTTTACCAATATTTATTTTACACAAACATTATGGTGAGGATTAGTTAAAATGGTTTTGTATTTTAGAGGAAGCTTCTGGTTTATTACAATTTGGGCTTTATTTACAGACATTTGGCCACCACTTCTATTGGTTATGATCGTATTTTACTCATCAAATTTATTGAGATCTGGGAACATGAAAATATCCCTACTACAAAGTCTGACTGGGCAAGAAACATGAGCAGACAGACGATCATACATGTCGTAAAGAAGCCAACAGTTTAGCTGGCAGGTTGTAAACAATAGTTTGGCCACATTATGTGAACTTAAAAAAACACTGAAAGTTGGTAAATGTTTGTAATAAGGCTGCCTTCAAACACTGTCGCCCAATATGAACAACAGGAAGATTTAGAGGTGTTTTCTAAGATGGTTCTAGCCTTGCAGTCGCATTACTTATATGGCCTAAATTTTGCCTCTGTATTGTTGTAACCCCCTGGCGGCGTTTTGTTGATGTATTGATTTGTATTGCACCATGTTGACTTAATAAAGTTTCTGAAAATTTAAAAAAAAAAAAAATAAATATATGGCCTAAATTCACTGCTTTTTCAGTGTTATGTAGTAACACTTTAAATGTCCTTTAATTTAGTTGAATTAATTCCATTAGTGTTAATATTGAATTTATTTAGATGTAACCACTGCTTTGTCATCACTTCGTCGTACAGTTGTTTTCAACATGTGGAAGATACTGATGCAGTCAGAAAATCTCAATATCTCTAACTTCAGTCTAAGACGGAGGCTGACCTGTAAGTTTTTTCCCTCCGGGCTGCTTGTAATTACAGTTTGAATGATATGAAACAAATATGGCATAATCCCTCACAGCACAGGGAAACACACAACTATGGTAAGTACAAAAGATCAAAGGAAGTCCGTCTGTAAATGGTAACCTGGTTTGTACAATGGTATTATAATTGAGAACCAGAAATACAAAACTAAGATCCGAAGTGCAATTAACCATAATTCTCTGCGGTCTGGGAAAGTCGCTTCATCACTTTCCTACTAAGTGTGAGAGGAGAAGGTACCACTCTCACTTCTGTATGCTAAATAAGAAACTACAGCCAGCACCTGGTTAGCTTAGAATAGCATGAAGACTGTGTCAGTCCAATGGAAATAAACTCTTAGACTAACAACTACCAAACCCAGATTAGTCAGCAAAGTAATCATAAACCCTCATCAGGCCTAACTTCTCTCTGGACTGCTACTTGGACGGTATCCTGATCTCATATCGTCTGAGGTAGCTTATAATTCTCATGCTCCAGCTCTGGTTTTTAAATGATCTGATTCAGAAATGGTACAAAAACAAATGCCTCATCATCAGTAGTCTCAGGTACATCTTCAATTCCAGAGCTACTGTCATCACAACCCTCCAATATCAAAGAAAATGATTGCTCTGCACTAAATCTGACATCTGGGTCGTTTGAGGAAGCTAACATAAACAAACCTTTTCATCATGCATTTGTATTGATTCATAGGAACAGTGACATTATGAGGCCAAACAAGAAAACACAACATTACTTCACTTGCATCAAGCACACTGTGAACTAAATTTTTTTTACCACTTTTACATACCTCGGGTCTCTAGTGACCTTATAAACTTTTTATAGGAAACATTATGAGAAAAGAAAATGCTATTCTTGTCATTTTGACATCAGAACAATGTTTAAAACAAACAGTTTGAGGAATACCAGGGAGTGGAGTTATTAATTAAATGAAATTAATAAATTAGACAGGGAGCAATATAGTATATATTTAAGGGTTAATCCAGACTATTTCTTTCCCCAGGCAATCAGTTTCCCCCTGCTTCCAGTCTTAGAAGAAAGTCAGAAAGCGAACATGTGTGCTTCCCAAAATGTCGAACTATTCCTTTAACAATCTATCCGACGTCCCAGCGCTCCTCCAGAGTGCCAGCGAGCACACCGGGTAGTGAGGGACAATAAAGGACGGGGATCAGATGGTGTTTGGGTTGCTAACATAAAGACACAGGGGGCAATGGTAATTTCAATAAAAAACTAATTACCTATTGATTTCATTTCTAAGTAAGGGAAAATTTATAGCTCACAGCCTGACACCAATCAATAGAAAATTCAATGTTCAGCTATGCCCTTCGGTCTGCTTTTGTGTCTGTGCATGAACAGCACAGCTTTTCTTTAACAGTCTTTTTCATTTGCACACAAAGACACAAACATACTGTCCTTCTCTTTTCTATTGTCATTCTTTAATAGTTCATCCAAGGGTGTCGGTTCCCCAAAACATAAATTCAATTTCTCTTAAAAATTTCAATTTATTTGCTTATTTTGATAGTTTGACATTCAAGGCGGCTGTTTGGAGCTCCTGCAAGAGTCTGGACTATGAATGTAAAATGAATAGGCAGCTCTGAGACATGTGTGAGAGACATAAATATCAGATAAAGGCAATACAACCTTATTATCTTGGAACCAGACCTGTATTTAACTACATAGCTGGAACATGGTGCTTTAGCTTCACACTTCAATAATGACTAGAAACAAAAAAAACTGATGACATATGCTCATCTAAAGCATCGTGTGACTGAAAGTGGTAAAAAGAAGACGCAGATTGTGATTGCACTGACAACATTGGATGGAATCTTTATTCCTTATTTTATTAGCTAGCTGTGTAAACATAATGTTCCAGTACCATCTTGTTTCTGTTAATCATTCATGTTTCCATCTCGTGTGAGTTGGCAAAAGATAACTAGCTCTGTCTCTGATCAGAGTCAGACAGAAGAGGCATGATAGCATTACGGAGATAGTAGATGATTAACTTCCCCACTGCATGTATGACTCTTCAGACTTCTATTAACCATCTGCTCTCTCATAACTGCCCTCTCTTGTAACGAGGAGCTTTGATTAGTAAATGAGTTCAACAACTGCAAAAGAAATTGTGTTGGGTGGCCTCGTCACACCTTTTACTTTTGAAACTGTAAACTATGAAAAGAAGCTAATTTACACTGAGAAGTATCCATTCAGTTCTTGGTTCATTCGATTCTTTGACTCTGATGTCCTAATTAGATATAATCCAGCCTCATATTCTCACTGTGTGAACACCTGTTTATTGTTCTTAGTGAAACAGTCTCCCAATTCATCATCATAACTACTTATTTAACCTCTCTCCTTGAGCCCTCACGCACTTCATCCTGGTATAAATTATCCTCTTATCCACTTGTTATACCTTTTCTTCCTTCTTTCATTTCTCTTATACCTCCTCCCTCACATCTGTTCACCTCTGCCTTCATTCTCACTTTACCGTCTCCATCTGTACCTGGAGAGAACCACCAGCTCTCATTTTCTAGTCTCTGGGGCCTTTCAAAGAATAACCTTTAAAATCTAACAGGAACAATGAATCACTGCCCCCCTAGTGAGAAGCTTCTAACAAGACACATTGTTGAACGACTGTGTGAATGGACCAGATGATGACAAGATGCCAATAGAAAAGCAACATAGAAGATACACATTAAAATTCATTCTTGACCTTGAAAACAGAACAAAATAATCAAAATTCAAGGTCCACTTGCTCAAGCTTTCAACCACATCGCATGGTCTTTATTGGTGGATGTAGTTTGCTCAGATGTGATGGAGATGGAACTGTTGACATGAATGAGGTAGACCATGTGATGTGCGTAAGAGGACCTTGAGTCAGGAGTGCTTTGTCAAACTATGTTCTCAAAGGTAAAAAAGGTTAATTAACATTCTTGCTGAGGGTCAAATAAGATCGATGCCACTCTCACGTCTATGTGTTATACACGGAAAGGTACAGCTAACTGCCACTTAGCTTAGCATAAAACACACAGAGAAACCACTACCCTGGTTCAGAAAACCCTCCTAAAACCAGAAAGTGTTACTTGTACAATTCGGTTTATGTACGGATTAAACAGAACAGAGATATCGTGCTCCTAGATGAAGATAAGGATTTCAAGATTTCTTTTTTGTTTTTCTTGAAAGAGATATTTAATACATTTAAAGAAACTCACACCTACTCTCACAAGGTAATTGCTGTTTAAATGGAAAATCATTACAGATGATTATCAAAGATGCACAGGGAAGATTAAATATCTTATATTAACACTTCATGGAAAAGGAAGTGACTAGTGTTCATGTTCAGTGTTTCTTACATTTTGTTTGTCAGACTAAACAAACAAGCTCTGAGAAACTATAACGGGTATATTACACTATTTTTTTATTAACAATGAATCTATTAACTGAAGAATAATCTCCTGATTAATATATAATAACACAATTGCACAATGGCAGCCTTATATATTTGACGTACCTTTATGCAGCTTCCTATTACTGTATTTTGTGCCTCTCCTTCATAGGCGTCATTTTGCAGCTTTGCTGACAAATAAGAATTAATAGCATTTGTCACCAAAAGCATTTTGTGATAAAACCATTCAAGTAAAGTCAAAGACAAAGACCGGAGCCAGCTCAAGCAGAAACTCATAAAAATGAATCAGCAATTGAACACAAAAAGCAAAACAAACTATGGTGTGTGCCAAAGAAATTAACAATTTAACTTAATTTTTCTTCAAAAAATAGTGATTTGGCCCAGCGCCTGGTTTCAACATCAGTGGTCTGCCAAGCTGAACAGACCAGCAGGACTGGTCCTGTAGCGATTTGGAGGACTGACCCAGGTTGTGCACTGCAGCGATGGAGCCTGAAATGCTGCAAAACTGCAGCAGCTTGAATTTTAGAGCACAACCAGATGTTTGGCTGACTATCAACGGCAGCCCACAGAGTGGTGGGTCGCTGCTTTGTGTCTTTATGAGGACTGTAATAGTTTAATTCCTTCCCAAACAGAGTAGGAGGCATTGCACAGCTCCCTGGCACTGTGCTAAAGAGAGAAACAGCTACAGCTAAGCCTCCTGACCTCGCCGAGTGGAAAATCAACTCCTGCCAAATCACCGGGCCATCCTCAGCCCACTGAAGCTTTCAGAGCTGCTTTTTATATATTCTACACTGACCATTCTTTTATTTAACAAAAACGCAGATTATTTGTCCTCAACTCAACTTTCTTTCACAATTTTCTAGATGATTTCTTTCTAAACAGCTCGATAAAAGACACCTTGTCTGAATGAATGAATCAATGAACAAACAAACATAGAGCAGACGGGAGATAATTAGTTTTTGGCTTTGGATACACGTATACATTTATATCTAAAACTGTACACCGTAGTGCCTTCACCAGCGAGCTTGTCACTGTGGGGGATTATCATCTTTATGAAACAATTCACCCCTCGGCTAAATGCTGCAGTTTGTTATTATACAAATCTCTGTCTCCTGGCGTGTGTGTCTCGTGACAGGTATTACAGAGGGAGTGTTACAAGTAACTGGATACCTAGAGAGTAGATGTGTTTTTTTTCTGAGTCATCCTCAGGGAGGAGAAGCCTGTTCGATTAAAGAAAACACCAACAGTTTAGAGACTGTGAACAGGAAAAAAGTCAGAAGCTAGAGAGCAAAAAGGACCACAAATATCCTGCCTGGTTATCAATATAAAACTACAACAGGTGCAAATTCTTTGGACGTTTGAGCTTTCACATACAAATGATCCAGATTGTATTGTCGTGCCAAGCCAGAGATGTTATGAAATATTCCTCTCAGGCCGGTTTTAAGTAGGTCAACAATTGGATACGAGTATATTCATTTTTGATTTGATCTGACCCAAGCCGATGTGATTCAGCTTGAATCTGTGCCATGTGAAGCAACGCTGGGTTTGTTTTGGTGTCCTTATTTTGAGTCTGGCTGGAGCTCATGTGGAAATGAATAAAAAAAATAATAATTCGCGTGTCAATCAAGATCCTCCATTAAACAGTCATCAGTAGCTTGTACAGACACGTGTGTAGATTAACAGGAGTTCTTACCAGCTTTACATTTTAACTGTGAGCCATAAAGTGACTTTATCTTTCGCTTTCAGGAGCTTTGTAACATAAATGAACTTGACCTACGTGTTATATTCTTTCAACAAAAAGGAACATTTGAGTCACTGCTGCAAATATAAAAGTCTTCCATCTCATCCTGCCAATACTGCAGAGAAAGTGGGGAAACTGCATATATACGTAAAATAATCTTCTGTAGACTCGCAGATCACATTCTGATTCATGCCGCTTCCAGGGAACGTGGTTTCAGGAAGATGTTGGGTCAGGTAATCCAAACTGGTCTTGCAACTCCTTTGCAGTCACAAGCTGACTCATTCTCTTTAACTGTCCTGGCAGACTCTTTACATCCAGAGAACAATTATTGCAGATTTAATACCTGTCAGTTAGTGGTATTTCCCTTCAGGAAGGAGCAGGAAACACCAGCTGACAGGCCGACTGCTGATTATTAATTTAATCCGTCAAATTTAAGAGCCTTGTTCATACTTTATGTCTATCACTCCATTACACACAATGGCAGGCTAGGTAGGACATTCAATGACAATGAATCATGTCCATAAACCACTAACTAATTAAAATCCACCTCTCTGTTTACAGATGAGATGGCACTAAGATTTCTTGGCCATTTTGTGTGTGTTTGTGTGCAGAAAGCAGGTACAAGATTGCTGCTTACTACTATGACTCCAGACTACACTGGGGAATCATCACCATCACATACAGTATTTATATATTCCTTCCTCTTCAAACTAGACTGAGTTTTAGAAAATAGCAGGATGTCCCAAGCTGATCTGCAAGATCAATATCTGAGACAAACAAGGTACTTTTAAATTGATCGGTTTCAGCTATTTTAAGCCCCATCAAACTATCAAACCACAGGCACAGCAGCTCCAGACTGACACTACTCTCTCTCCCTGCTGGAAGACACAGTTACACAGTTTGACAAGAAGTTTAACAGCAATCTCATATCTGTCCAGTATACATGAAGCAACAGCCAGCAGTTGGTTAGCTCAGCATAGCAAAAAGACTGAAAACAGGGGGAAACCACTAGCCTGGCTCTGTCCTCGGGTAACAAAATCCATCTACGGCCAATCCAGGACCAGTTAGCAGGCAACCAGCAAGTAACAAAGAAATAGTCTAGTACATAACTCCCTGTAAAACAAGGCCTACTTTACACTGGTAGGTTCAAACAGAACCAGGCTAGCTGTTCCCCCCGTTTACAGTCTTTATGCTAAGCTAAGTTTGCCGGATGCTGACTGTAGCCTTATATAGCTTACAATAAGGAGAGCGGTATTAATCTTCTCATTTAACTGCACTATTCTTTCTAGGAAAGCAGGTTTTCTTTTTGCTCATGCAGGGCTCTTAAATGAGTCTTAGTTTCATAATTTTTACCAGCTACCAAGGTCATCTATATAGAGGAACAGATTTACCACACAAGACACCCACATGAGCACCAGTTCATAATTATTATCTAACTTCTTTTGTAAGTGTACTTAAAAGGTTGTAAACATTTGATGTGGCAGGTGCACCTTGTATAGCTTGTATAGCTATAGACTTTGCACCCACTGCAGTTGTGTCCACAATTTTACAATGCAACGGACGACTGCAACTGACATTTTGGATCTGTTCACTTTTGGTTTAATAATGAATGGGTTCAACTGAGGATTTCTTGCCCAAGTGACTCAAGCCATCCCCAGGTGCATAACAACTAAAACATCTGCAGCAGTTACTTTAAAAGGTACCGGTGTGTACATCCTACATATGGAAGCCATGCTTAGTTTTCGTGTGATATATTTTCATGTATAGATCAGAAATCAGCGATTCAGTTAATGCAATGTTTGTTTTATTAAGCCATACACTATACACCTCTCTAGTCTGGGAGTGGCACATTGCCTTAGGAAGCAGTATTTATGTTTAACTATAACTCTTACCATTAAAATGACTGTATTTTTCACTCCTGTGCAATAACTTTCCTCTTGCTCACGTTTAGAGAGTGGCTGACTCGTGGATCAAACATTATAGAGAGATTGGTCCGGTGGTGATGAAATGACCCTGACATCTATTAGCACAAGTAAAAGGTTTATCCTATAAGAGGCTCAAGAGAACAAGGATTGAAACCCTGGAGTCAGATTCGATGCAGACAGTAGGTTTGCCCGCGGGGAGCGATGGAGAGGAGAGGAGACTGTGGTTTTCTGTCAGACAGAAAACCACAGTGAGTTGAGGTGTAAAGACACGTCTATTCTCTGGAAGTTGATCAGAGAGGCAGCTCTGATTGGGCGATGTGATGCAAGTGAGGCAGGTCTATCTATCAGCACCTCTAACTCCACTGCATGTATATCTGTCCTGTCAATCTCTGCCTTCCTACACAGCTCACCTCACCACCGCCCTCCTGTCTTTATGTTCTCTCTCTTTTCTCTCTCTGTGGTAGAAGGCCATACATCATTCATTCAAATTTTTCCAATTGTGTGTGCTTTGCTCACCTTTGATATATTGCTGGACCTGCTGGCAGAATGACCCAGAGGCTTTTCATTCTGTAAAAGAAGATGAGAAAGACAGCTTCAGTGATTGAAAAAAAAACACACACATTCAAAAACGGAAAAAGAGATGCAGTCCAATCTGCACATGCTGTCTGCACAGTGCTAACTGGCATATCCCCCATAATTACTATTTGCATCACACTTTATTTGTAATGAATGGTGCTGTACAATGACTATCTGTTTGACATAATTAACATTTGAGCATTTGAAACAGAACAGCCAATTACAGGAAATTGTTAACAATACTAGGAGTCTACATGTGTAGGACTTCCAGGTAGACATAAGGGTGCTTTGAGCTAAATCTTAACATTAGAACACCAATATGCTCACAATAACAATGCTAACATGTTGATTTTCACACGTTGAGTTACCACGCTCAATAAATTAGATTAGAGTGTTACCATTTGCTAATTAGCAGTTAACACAAAGTACAGTTGATGCTGGAATATTATTAGTTTTGCAGGCCAAGAACCAAAGTACTGGAAAATATGACATTTTGACCTGATGATGGTCAGGACAAGTCAACCTGAGGGGAGCATGAATGTCTGTACCAAATGTCATGCCAATAAATCAAGTAAAATAGTAGTCAAGATATTTCACTAAAATCCCAGAACATTAAAGGTGGCTCTTAACGTAATACGAATGAAGAAATCTTGTTATAGGCTATAATAGAAGAAATAGGAAGAACTGATTCATGGTTTGTCTCCTAACGAGCAAACACTTCAACCAAACACAGCAAAGCTACATTCCTCAGCAGCCTGTGAGGATTTTAAGTTAGTAAATCAAGTTATTTTGGCACAAGACAAAAGGAGGACAAGCTGATTACATAACACATCCGACAAACTCCAAATCAAATGGTGTCACAATATTTGTATCATTACCCAGGGAGCGAATCAGGCCAATCCTGTCAGCACTCAGCACAGTTAAGTTTTGTTTTGAGGCTGTAATGATCCTCAATTCCCACTCAGTGTTCTCAGCTGGCACCAGGGACTCAGATAAACAGCCACTGGGGTGTTGTGCTGCATTCAGTGTTGGTATTAAAGCCTTGCGTGGTTCCTTAATGAGTAATCAATCATCGTTACATAATGCTGAGTTCACACCGGGTCTGTCAGGCTGTGGTGCTTTGGACACAAACAAATCTTTGCAAAGGGAAATCAGCTCTATGGGGAGGAGTGTTTTAACTGTCTATACACTGTACACATGGGAGCATGGCCAGTTTAACTTGTTAGGGGGCAAAATTGAATCAAAGCTCCCATTCAGTACAATACACACATGGCAACTTTAATAACCAGAATCCCAGAAATCAACCAGCCTTCCTATGCAGGTGTAGTATATTTACCCAACTTTCACCTGATGGTTAGGCTAGATAAAAAGGTCAGAGGATCAGAGTTATTACAAGCATGAAGGTTTGACATTTTGTGGCAATCCCAAAGTAAAGACATTTTATTTAAAAAGAGATTTTCAGAATAAGGTCACAATATTTTGAGAAGTAAGTATTAAAATGTAAATACTTTATTGCAATAAACAGATGAGAGCAGTCTGTCTGTTACATGACAAATTGTGGTGTAACTTCAGGTCAATCAACAGGTTTTGCCAACAAGCCAACAAAAAAAAAAAGAAAATTAAATTAAAACGAATTAAACCAGTTACATGAAGTATGAGTCAATAACCAGCTGTGTTGCAAAGCAGCAGCTGGAGTACAGCGGAGACCTGTCTTGTTCTCCAGACAGCTGAGACAAGAGCACAGTCGTAGTATGTGATTAAAGTGGGCTTTATGCAAATTATGTGAAAGGCAGCCACAATCTAACTGTCTAATAGTCTTCTGTGCATTATGTTATTGGCCCATGTATCCAATTCAGACCAGCAGGGAAGCAGATGTGCAGTGCTCCTCATCGGAGGTGGAAAACTCAAAGCAACTGTTTGAAAACTCCTCTCACCACCGTGTGGCTTACTGGCCACCCAAATGTTAACTTTTCCCTCCACGATAAAGCACACAGAAGCTTTCCTACACTTTTCAATGGGAAGCATTATGGAGTAGGGAGACGGTCCCAAACAGAGCACAGAGATGCCTATATAAGAGGCGGACAGGAGACTAGATAGTGCTGTCCAAACATGTTTTTTACAAGTCAAAATAACTGTAGGCCATAGCAGCCTATGGACTGTAATCCAATAAACCTATAAGCATAACATGATGTTTTACACTCAAAGCAACCTATTCTGTTTTTTTCTCACAATATTATGATTTATTTTTACAACTTACAGCTTTTTTCCTGTAATATTATGTCGTCAAAATCGTAATTAATAACATTGATCCTAAAACTTGCTGCTAGCATGACAAAAGTCTTAAAGCCAATTGATTAATATTGGAAACAACTTGAAATATTCTTGTGCACTAGCAGATGTTTTCACTTGTTTTACGAAAATAAGGTTTTTGGGAATTCAAATAGATAGAAATGATCTGATAAAGAGGGAACCTGGCATTTGTTTTTGTGGAGAACTTTCCTCTTGTTGTTCAGAAGCAGCAGTGTTACCTTAAACAGGAAGTACATTGCCTCCAGAAACTCATGAACCATGAGTCTACACACACACACACACACACACACTCATACCACTAAGAGACTTCATGTCGTTCTTCCGATTCTTAATTACTTCAGTGCTTCACTTGTGTCCTCTCCATGACTCGTTGCCATGGTGATAGGGGACTACTGTATGTGCCAAGACTCTCCATCACTCTCTGCTTCTCTTTTCATCCCCCTGTTGCAACACACACACACACACACACACACACACACACACACACACACACACACACACACACACACACACACACACACACACACACACACACACACACACACACACACACACACACACACACACACACACACACACACACACGATGACTCCAATCTCAGGCTGTATCTTGTGTTTTAATCTGCCAACTTCCAGTAAGATGCACTTTGCGGCTGATCCAGTGACACAACTTTCACATGCAAAATGTATGTTTTAATCAGTAGTTCTGCAGATACAACTGCAGAGGCAAGATCTCAGGCTTTTACTGTACTAATGGATTAAAATGAAGCAGCTCCACTCCATCTCCATGTCATTACCTCCTCAACATCTTCAATACAATGCCACAAAATAGTAAAAACAACTCGCAATGGGTGCAATTTGTGAAGCAAATCTATTTTGTCAGATTGTTGAAGAGGGTAAAAATTCTATTTTGTATAGGAGATGACAGCCGGGGATAACAAGGCACAGCCAAAAGAATAGAACAAATTGATGATCCTTGCCCTTAATCCTTCCTTCTTGGCCAAAAATGGAGTAACAAGCAGATATGCCCAGACCGAAGAGTTCCGGGAAATGGGCCACAAATGGGCCGATGACTTTTATAGACAGCCGTGATTAGAGCAGAGGGGCGGCAGACGGATGACAAAAGATGAAAAAGGAAATAGATCAACACCATTTCTCTGCGTCCTCTCTTTTTTCCTAACCCCATTTCTTTAAAATCCTCTCCAGAAAACTGTGTTACCTGCAGTACAAGGTCTGGGAGTCACCTTCACTGCCACCATGACTGTAGACTATAAAGGGTCTTATTCTCTGGGCTCATGCATAATTCTGATAAAGAAGGTTTCAGGTTTCACAGTCCGCTGTGTCTGTCTGTCTTTCTCCACCTCCTCTGTGGGTCTGTTCACAGCCCCAGGCTTTGATAACACAACTTTCAGACTGGACTCTGAAGACTGGAGGTTGTAAGAAAACGAAGCTTAGGAGAGTATGGCAGAGGAGGAGAGGTCATATTCAGAGGGACGTCTTTCAGGGCTCTGTTCTCGGCCCACAGGGAGGAGAGCTTGGCTCGCTTTTATGCAAGAATCTCAAAAGATAAAACCTTTGCAAATTTAACACTGCCTCTTTGAAATGTGCCTGTCTCTACAAAGTTTTTATCCTCAACACAACTTTTTCAGTAGTTGAATCCACCATCTGTGTCGTCTTTCATGAAGATGTCACAGATTGAGCTGTAGACCATATGGGGCATGTATAGCCTAGAGATGAAACACCAGTCAATTTTAATCAATCAACTAAATCAATTGGCAATTTTTTTTCATAACCACTTTCTTTGCAGTTTTCTTTTGAGTGTCATTTTAAATTTAAAATATCCTTTGGTTTTGGACTGTTGGTCGGACAAAACAAGACATTTAAAAATGTCACCTTAGGCTCTAAGAAATCGTAATGGCATTTCATAAAAAATACACTAAATAATTAAATCAAAAACATTGTAGGCAATCCTTATTTACGCCCTGTAACTAAACAGTATATAAATTAGGGCAGCAACAAACGATTATTGTCATTACTGATTGATGTGACTATTATTTTCTTTATTAATCAATTAATTGTTTAGATACTAAAATGTCAGAAAAGGAACATTTGCTGTTATTTCCCACAGCCCAAGATAACATAATCACATAGCTTGTTTTGTCCAGCCAACAGTCCTAATCCCAAAGATACTCAAATCCTCACACTGAAGAAGCTGAACCAGAGAATCTGCATTTTTGCTTAAAAAAAGAAAAAGAAAAGAAAAGCTAAATGTGTTTTGTTTTGTTAGTAAGTGATATATTACAGAACCGAATCTTCCAGATACTTCCTCCTGGTTTTGGCACCATTTTACACCAGCGTCATGCCACAAGCAGAGCATAAAGCTGGGTTTCTGTTTGAGGTCGACAGCTTCTCAGAATACAAAACCTGAGACCTGCAGTCAGCGAGGCTGCTCACACACCATCTGTTCTCGCCTATACCGACAACAGTTTCAGACACAACCCAAACATGAAATGAGATAGGTCAGGGTCGCAAATGAGAACTGCTTGTGAAGCTTGCAAACCTTCACCTTGTACATTTTATGTCATGAGAGACAGACGGTTTTATAACAGCAACACAAAAGGAAAATTCTAATTTTGAATACTAGCATGCTCCATTATCAGTCTGTTGTGCATTATATACTA